TGGAACCGTACCTGATGAAAGACATACATTACAGTTGAGAAACCTATCAACAAACCTCACTTCTGTAGAGAACATATAGTATCGACTATGACAACCAGATATTCCTTCCTAATCATCCTGAAGATCGGTGGCAGAGATAGGGGGGATAAACATGGTAAGGTCGAACAGCTTCCTGGAAGTACTGTAACTGAAGAAGAAGTGAGTGAAACATACCATCGTTTCTCTTCTTCTTAGACACCTTGATGTAACTCGGTTCATATTAATCTCAGACTGGTGACAGCACTTGAAATGGAAACATACAAACTACACGAACCTTGTTGAGACTCGTGTCAAACTACTCTCTGCTTGTGCACATCAACTGACATTCCATCAATGAACAGCTGTAAGATAATCGTCTTCGGTGTATCTTGTGATGTCCTAATGATATAGTTTTATGGAAACAAGCCACGATTACAATAAACAAAGTTTGACTTCTACTAGTTTATTCAATTTAAATATGAATAACAACAATACAACACCTTTTATTCAGAATAATAGGCCGGTCGCTGTTGTCAACAGTGAACAAATAAAAAAGCCTCAAAAACAATAATTACAGTTATTAAGCTCCGAGGCTGGATTACTATAAGATGTGCCTCGGCGATCAGGCCACAAAACATATTAAAGATCACCAGGATTGGTTTCTTATATGTCAAACGAAGTTACATGAGAAATGAATGTGTAGGTTAGGTTTTAATACAGCCAATAGCGTTTGGGAGATGGAGTACATATAAAGATAGATATTAAACCAATTTCATCAGTTAGCAAGTTACGATTGTAAAGCGGAAAAATCGACAGGACCAACAGGACCAGATCCTGTGGTTGGAGCCTTCAAGGTGCTTTCATCTCCCTTGCGGGTATCCATATCAAACTTTCCTAATAGAGAAGCCATCGCGTCAGTTTCCGGCTTGACTAGAATAGATTCTATTGCACTCAACACAGGTTCGTTTTCCAAATTCTCATCAACAGCCTGAAGTTAACAGATAAAACATCGTCTGACATTCAAATGAAATTTACCCGTTCGATTTCATCCGAACTATAACTACAGAAGGAAGTGTTAACAGAATCGGAAGGCTCTTCACCAGCCCAAGTGTATAAACTTTTCTTCCACATTCTTATCTGAAAATTGGAGGGTTCCGCTAAGTCACTATGAAACACGCTTACTTGAGCATCCCACGATCGACGAGAGAAATTGATTTGCTTGTTCGGTGTCTTAGGGTGAACTCCTTTAACACGCTTAGATTTGGGAACTTCGTTCAAATAACGGTTATACACAGGTTTCTCTTTGGCTCTATCGATTTCCTGATGGCGAGAATAAGAATTAGTTTGCTAATAGCAAAAACCTTTGTTCGACGCTCCAATACTATAAGGTCGGTACACCATCCCAATGTGGGATCCTCCCAACCATCTTTAATAGATCCCTCGCTGTTAGTAGATGGGCTAGCACCGGACTTATCAAACAACCTGAAACAAAAGCAAATAAGATGTCATTAGATTACACAATACCTGACTGCAGCAGATTTACGCTCGTTGAGGTCACTTCTCATATTCTTACGAGCTGGTCTATCACAGGATGAACTGGCATTTTTTAATGGGGTACGCTTGGCAGGAGAGCAGTTTTCTCCGTCTTGGGTTAGTTGCGAACTGGTAGACAGCTGACGTTTGCGAGATGCATTCTGAGCTACAGAATTAACAGAGAACTTCACATCAAAACCTTACAGTATTGTATTTGGAAGATTCTTTGTTATTTTCCTCACGACCTCTTATTCTTTCTGAGCGTCTGTCAAGTTTAAATCCTACAACATCCTCAGACTCCAATCGACGACTGAATTTGGCTTTAGTAGTTGACTAAATTACTGGATGAATGAAGAAACTATAAAGAACACAACCTTCTTAGGGACAGCAGTTTTTCGACGACTTTCAGATTTACTAATGTTATCAAGGATTGATTGTGTCAACTGGTTATCTTCGGCAGTTATTTCAGCCCATGATTTGTCTAGAGGTGGTAAGTCCTCTTCCTTCTGCAGAGAACTTTCAGTTACAAAACAAACTGTTTGACTTACAAATAATGAACTGACAAGAGTAGTAGCTGCTTTGACCGGAGAAGCCCAAGCTTTTTTGCGAGGAGAAGTTCTTGTAGCTCTAGCTGGTGAAGAAGCCATTGACTTGAAAAAAGTTTTTTTTAGAAGGAGTAGAAATGAGATAAAAACGCAAGAACATGTTGAATCGACAATTTTGGCGCGCACTCACAGAGAACACAAAACGAGACTTTGCGTCTCAAAACGCGTAAGAATGAAAAAAAGGTTTAAGATGATTGGTTAGATTAAAGTTGATTAATAGGCTTGAAAATGCTGAGAAATTCAATTAAAAGAAAAGAAAAGTTACAAAATATCAATATGGTAGAACATTCAGATGGATTCTGTTGCTCAATCTTTGACAACTAAACAGATTAAATGAGAGCAACAGGTAAACCATAACCTCTCATCAGACTGTACTAACACAGTGTGAGGATAATAACAGCATGATGGTCTATTCAAATGAGCGTCAGGTCACACATTGCGCGGGAATGTGCTGAGTACAAGCTGCCTGTTAGGGACGCAGACATACCAGATGTATCTTAGGCTCAACCAAAAAGATATTAGTAACAAAATACTTAAAGTGAAATAAAGCCCAAATTTGGGAACAGTATTGCCTTTGGTATCTTTCAGACAGGAAGACCACTGCAGGCGATTGTTAAATTTGGCGCGAAAATGTCATTTTCCAATCATTAGTTCAGATTGAGCGGTCTATTTCGTTCTGTTCTCTCATACAAGGTGTAACCTTGAGCAGTTTTATTCAGATTTCTACTAGCATATAAGTTTATTTCATAAATATCTTCAATCAATACATAATAACATGAAGAAGGGGGAAAGTTAGGCTTATCACAATAACATTGAAACGATCATTGATTGCTCATGTTCAAATTGAGCACAACGTTGCATATGGAGGTTGATGATGTCGTGAATAGAAATGAAATAGTCTATCTAGATTGGATTCAGCTCTCATAGGACTTCGAACCATTTTCTTCACAAGGCTCTTCCTCAGTTTTCTCGTACAAATTAATTGCTGCATATCGTAAACCGTAAGGTCTTCTATTTAGATTGCTAGTAGGTGATTCATAGAAAACAGTTCTGACCCTTGGTATGGACCATCTGTCAAATGACGAAATGTCACAGACTTCATCAGGGATTTTGACCTCTTGGTTTTTACGATGAGCATCACTATTTACCTGGTTTATGTGATGTTCATTGTCTATGTCTACATCTTCTATACTCTCCGATGGAGTCAATGCATCTGTCTGGCATGCCACACTCATGCTGTCTTCCTTGACCACAGGTAGTTTGTTACATTTACAGAATTTCTGGTTATATGCAGACTGTAGATGTCTTAAGTCTCCCATTGCCATATCCAAAGGATAGAGGTAGTTAGGCATTGCAAGTCGGTCATGGGCTGACAACAGAAAGTGTTTATCCTTGAGTAAATTGAGTTCCATTTTCGACTAAAAAAACATGTTAATCTGATATGCTGAAAGATGGTATCTACCATCATAATGACAACTTACATAATCTATTCGATCTAGTACTTTCTCGCCTAATTGAGGTGTCACAAATGGAGATACTGTATGATCTGATGAGTTGGTGTCAGAAGAAGGTGATGGCGAGAGGCAAATACGGGAACGGTAACAAGTTGGAAACAGGGCCTTCAACCTAATAAGTACATAAACGAGCATGAATAAGGCGATTGTATCAAATTTACGTTGCCTCCCTAGTTGCTGAATCGACAGAAAAAATAGATTGTTTACGATCTTCCACTATGATCTGAAATAAGGTACAGGATAACTGTGAAAAAGATCCTAGTTACGTTACCTTTTTGCTTTGTGGTTCCACATTCGTTCGATTCGTTCGATTGTTTCGCCTCCTTCGCATCCAGGAAGTGCGTGCTTGTACTAGACAGTAAAGTCTGAACGGGAGATTTAGAAGTGAGAAAGAATGAATCAAACTGATACCGTTTGAAAAACTTGAGAACTGCTCTCATGGCTGGCCAACCAGATCCTTTTCGTGGTACATAGAAGTGTAACGTTCATGCTGGAGTTTATGTTGCATTACGAAGTGTTCGGATGTTGTTATGAGTAATAATCATCATTTGTCACTCCTATAACTAAGTAACAACAAGGAAGTTGAACAAAACTTTGAGTTTTCCTAGAACAGTGACGGATGAACAATGAACACATTTTGATTCTTTGAACTTCTCTCTGATATGTTTATTCTGATGAAGTATGTTTATGTCTCCTCAAGCGGAATAGGTTTTAAACGTAAGCTCTCTTCAATATTATCTTCAATCATCGGCCTATCCCTGCATATGATAGAAATCCTTCTTCCTTTTTTCACAGGCTTGTTCTCGAAGACGGAATCTTTATTGGCGAGAACCTCATGAGTGAAGTCGTATCGGTATTGTTCCCTATCAAAAGAAAAATTGCTTCAGTGAATTCCCAAAGTGGATATACCCCAAGCGATAAAGTGACCTTCTTTGTAAAAATAAATCAATTATTAGTTTATCAGGGTCATCTTTGTGACGAAGCCTCATGACGCAGTCTGAGAGAAGGCTAATTCCTGTGATCACATTACCACAATACTGAAAGAAGTTCAGAAGTTCGAAAAAACCATATTCGATCCTTACTCTAACACTGTCTATGTGAGGTTTGATTACTCCATCCTCATGAAGATCAAGTATGTGAACATGTGTCAAATGGTCAGCTGTTTGAGGGAATGAATGCTTCCTATTGGGATCTGTGAATAAAAATAGAAAACCAAGAAACTAGAACAAACCTAATCCTTTGAATAACTTGTTCCGCTAATGGACTCCATTTCTTTTGTTCTCTTTCCCTATATAGATGAATAGCCTGAACCAGGAGATTAAGCTCTTGGATATCAGAGCGTCTGACTTACATCGTCCCAATGACTCTTCTCGTACCGAAGACGTTTCATGTGAGGTTCAACTTCCTTAAAGATAGCAGCCTCTTCTTCTTGACTGATGAAGTCCGGTTGAACAATACACGAACGACTTAAAGCCTCTTTTAAAGCCACACTAAGAATTGCTGTATCGTGTACTCGGACAAACGACGAACAGAAAACCCGTGACAAAAACATCTGAACCGAATATGATGTTTGATAGGCTGTCGCTAAAGATAGTTTTGGTCAAACCAATAAGGAACAGCAGAGGGATTTCCTTAAAATCTTTATTGGCAGTTGACAGACAAAAAGGGTATTATGACATACAAGTTAAAACACGTCTAAAAATTCATACATGTATAGCAACACTTCACGATTGAACTAATAAAATAATCTCTATTGCATTTTGACCGCGTGAAGAAAACAAATTTCCGACTTACAGTCGAAATCCTGGCTAGAAGTACCCAAGAATAGATGCGTAATTGAGCCTTAATTTTTCTTATTAATTACAAGGTTTTTCATTTCTTCCAGTGTTCTCTTCAACTCTTCCCTGAACTCTTGTGAACTCTGAAAATAGATGTGATCATTGAATTTCATGTGTTTACGATTCTTACAGTGTTATCAGCTGAACGTTTGCTAGAAATGTGGAAGGAAAGCTGATTTTCACCAGCTACGATGTAAGAGACTCCATAACCACGATCAGCTACAGGTCCGAAACCACCTGTAAACAATGAATCAGATGAAAGTGTCAACATGTTCGTCTAACCTCCAGCAGATACTAATCTAAGTTTAGCATCTGACGACATTCCTTCCATATCAGTTTCGCATTGGTTCAATGGTGTTTGACTGGTGGACAACAGATATGATGGAGGGAATATTTTATCGAAGAATGGGGACTCCTCTTCGAGATAGCGCTTAATAACGTATCTGAAAATAGAAACTTTTATAAACAATATGAATGCCGACGTACAGAGCGAACAGATGACGATCAACCCCTTTACCACACATGGCATCACGGTAAAGCTCCTGATGACGGTTACATGCAGTTTTCAAATGAGCCAAGCGTTCTTCGCGCTGGAAGAATTTATTTAGAAAATTCACAATTCTATTTGTGTTCCTTACAGTTTTGTTTTTATCCTGCATAGCTAGTACGAACTCACTCGATTCTACAGTGCATGAGCGAACTGTTTCAGTTCGACCTTCACGATAGAGGCGAGTCATTGAGGCTTCATAGGTTAGTGAGAACTTATTTTGGTTCTGAAAAGAAATGATAAAGAACAGATCAGGTTCTCTCTTTCAAGAAGTGTTACACGCGGATTTCACGTGAGCTTGTATAATCGAGAATACGTGGAAACCACGTGAATTCTCAAGGCAACAATTCATTTTTCAATTTCTTGGTTGCTGTGCGGCTGTGTTTTTAGTTATTAACCTTATAGTAAGTATACTGAAGACACATTTGCAGGAAAGCGTCGGGTGAAACTCCAAGTTTCTTAGCAAAGCCTTTTCCATAATCGGTCCATACAAGAAGAGCCATTTCAACATCAGCAATCAGATCGTTTGCAACAGTTAAAGATTTTTCGATTTGCTCCTGGAAAACAATAACGATAAGATAACAAATCAGAAAAGTACTTACTAAGGCAGGCTCGGGAATAGACCATTTCAGTCTTTCAGGTTTAATTTTGACTTCCATGTCTCCCTTAGTGTTTCCCTTCTCATCGTAACCAATGAAGACGATATCTCGGAGAAGACACCATTCCATGAAATGAGCTGTAACAGCAGCATCTCCCCTACATCAAAAAAATGACAAAACAATTGAAACAAGATGATTACCAAGAGTGTTCAGTGTTACAACCAACATGACCATTCTTAGAAATAATAAGGTTGAACGATTTGTCAAACCATCTATCATAGGCTTTGCCATGAAGAAGATTATGTGCCCAGTGGTCAAGCTTTGATGGATCATTCTGGAAGAACAACAAATTATTATTTTATAATGAACCACGTAATACCGGATCGTAATGAACTTCTTCACCGTCCAAAATTACAACGAAAGCAGCTCTTTCAATATCATTCAGACTGGTTTTGTTAATTCCAGAACGGAAGAATGCACGGCGAGTGGATGACCAAGGTTGTCGATCGCCAGCAGTAAGTGCAGCCAAACGATCCTAAAGACTGTATTTAGCAAAGAGCAATAAGATGAACGAACTTCTCCTTCAGCAGGATCAGGTTTATGGTTTACAATTTCATCAAATTGGTATTGCAACTCAGCAGCTCCTAATAATCTGTATGGCAAGCTATGAGATACAATACGAGCAGAGCAGTACTACCTAATTCCGTTGTGAACAATAACTTTAAACCAACATCCGTTACAAAGTACTGCGACATGCTTGGCATCATCCCAATGCAGAAAACGATCAACCTGAACTGAAGGTAAAACCCAGAACACATATTGTCCCTACTTCTTCTCCGGGAATACGACAACTATTGAACAGGCGTTCATATTGCATGGTACAGAACGGTACTTTGGACTTTGGAGAGATAGAGAACTATATAAAACGATCATGAATCTCTCAATAAATGTTTACTACTCACAGGTGTGACTTCCTGACGGTCAACAAGTCTTCTGAATTGGATTGCAGCCCACGTGATGTTGGCAGCACGAGCAGCTTGGTTCGTAGTAGGATGCTCGTTAAGAGTGTCCTTAAACAGAAAATATAACAAAACATTAAAACATCAACTTACAAATCCGTAATAGTTACTATTAATCATGATAGGACTTCTCTGTCTCATGTAAACGAATTCCTCCCACCAATCAGTGACCTCAAAATATAAATATAAAGAGAAAGCAAGGTATTACTCACATAGTTGGTTGACAACCACGATTTGAGAACAAGGTATCTTTGAAGCCGACGTCCAACACCTTTTCTAAATCTTTCAGAAAGAAATTCAAGCTCAGCATACTCTTGTTCACTCAGAATGGGCTTCATAGAACGCAGATGCTGAAGAAGAAAATATTTCAAAAGAAAGTCCGTGTTACTTACTCTCGAAACTGTTTCGTCTAACGAAGGTAAAGGAAGATGGGGAAGAGCTCCTTGGAATGAATGTAGCATAGGTTCTGATTTGGAAATGAGGTGGAGAAGCCCCTGAAGAGTTCATAAATCATAAAGATGCTTTGATAACAAAACTGACCAGCCATAACTTTGTTGGAGTGGAAACGGACTTTCCTGGCTGTTCGTACATCCATCCCTTATACGTCAGAAGGAACTTGATAGAAAATCGAAGAACCTGCACTAACACGAACCAAATGAGAGCTCCGGAAATCAAAACCGATAGACTTTGTCCGATGATTCCTTCTCTAAACACGAGAGAAAGTAATAATAATTGATAAAGATGCTTACCCAAAAATAAAAGATAAAATATGATGCTGAATGAAGGGCACAATGCCAAATGATAAATCTTTACGTAAAACTGAAAAAACGGAGATTGCAGCGACGACAAGACTGAATGTTAGTGTGTTAGCTGGGAAAAGTCCAGCGATAAAGTTATTCTGAAAGAGATACAAGTAGAGTATGTGAGGCTACAAGAAATGTACCTTGAATCTACCTACACGACGCTTATAGCCTCGTTGGAAGGCATGCCATATATCTCTCAATAGCTCTTGGTCATAACTAACCGAAACACCATCGTGTGTTACTTGAAAAACATGATAATGAGTAAAAATAAAAATAATAAAAGATGTTTACCTTGGAATGAGAGCGCAGCAGCACTACGCGCCTCAGCCATGATTCGAAACTCCTACTAATTAGAATAGTAAATCAGGATTAAAAGAAAAATTTCTGAAAAAGAAAGAAATATATTTTACTGTTCTATTAGAGTCACATAACATCTTGTATTATCAAGCAACGATATAAATGAAAAGCTATCTAAATAAGTGGATCCTTATATCAAAGATTTCGAGGTGCAAAGTACAAAGAGGGCGGAGCAAGCGCGTTCTTCGCACCCTGTGTCCAATATGTCGGACACTAAAAGATACTAATAGTAAAGACATATGAGTGGATAAGAGAGTTATAATCAACGTCTGTTATAGATGGTTTTTGAACTTATGTAGAGGTAGAAGGACGTGTATATAGATAAGCAGGTGAGCGATGATAATGAACTGCAGGACATTCATTCAGACTACAACATGTTTAAGAAGTTAAATTCAACAAAACAACAGGTTGTCAGAGAATGACGTTAATTCAGCTTTCGCCTCCTATCACATGGTTATACAACTCTCGAACGACGACGATGAAACCTAGGTGACCCAGTTTGTGGAACATCTTCCTTCATACAAAATGTGGAAAAGAAAACTTTGAACTTACGGCTGCGTACGTCATTGTAAAGTACATAAGTTAGAGTAGGACAGAACTTCGAGAATAATACGAAGCATTTGAAATAGTAGATTTGAAACTGCGGTATGCTTGCTGTTCCGGAAATCCGCTAAATACATCACCAACGTGGAAAATGCCGCCATCTTTCTAATCAACACGTCGCGTCTAGACCAAATGAGAGAGACACAGAGTCTTGTTTTCGTAAACAATTCTTCAGCTTCGAAACATTGAAAACATCTGACTAGTTTCAATACTATAGTTCAAAGTTCTGTTTTACTGGAGTTCGTAGCTGTTTTTTTGTTTTCCACAAGCTCGGGAGATGCCTTTTATAGTCTCGGCATACTTTTAAAGATGAATGACAAGAAGAGAATGCTGGTTTATGAAAAACAATAGTAATCTTCGAAGAAGCTCACGACATTCAAAAGTCACCGCGACTAACAACATCTGTTTGGTTACGAATCGATAATGCGCTTCATTATGTGATTAAACAATTCTTGAGAAATGATCGAATGAAGAAAGTGAAGTAGAAGGTGAGTATGTACAATAGGAACATCCAAAGAAGGATAAAGCAATATGACTGACTAACGTTATCAATAGTTGCACATTAAAAAGAATAGAAACCTGTATGTCTTACTGGAGTGAGAAAGGTTGATAAGCAGAATTCTTGTTTTCCATTTCATAAACTTCAATCGTGATCATTCGGACTTCAGCCTCTCTTATGGCTCGCTCTCGTCATCATCGAATGAAAAGAAAACACGTGCCGAATGGAATGTGTAAGTGATCTGTTGATATTCCTGAAGCGGAAAAAATGTAATTAGCATGGCAATATCGGACAAACCCTGAAAGTTGAATTAACTATGTTAGCCATCAACGCATCAGATCGACGATCTCGTGTCTCAGCCAACTTCGAAGTCATTTCTGTGCCGTCATCATCCAATTTCCTTCATAATTATAGGTTAATAGCAGGAAAGGGCAAGAGTACCTTCTAAGTGATTCCATCCATTGCAGATCTGTGAACAGAGTCCATTGGTTCAGAACAGTCAACAGGTAAGCGACTCCTGCAAGAGAGTAGTGAACTATCGTGAAGCCTTATTCTATTTACCTAAATGGAAACCATCATCAACAAAGGTCATTTCCTTGTTTGGTGTTTGTAGGCGTTTCTTCAGTCTTTCTCTACATGTGAGCATGTGTTGTAAATAGTTCAAAAGGAGAGGTGGGACTAGCATGAAGAAGTTTTCCAATTGTGATAACTTGGATAAAGCAGTTCGATATACGTCGACCAACATCTGGAGAAAGGTCAACTACCAAAACAGTCAAAGCGAGGAACCTTCATGAAATTTCTGTTTTTCGAAGATGACTCTCGGACATCACTCAGCAATTTGTTCAGACTATTTAAGACATTATCGGCTGAATGGCCTGCAATACAGCAACTATATAAGTTTCCCACACACCCTCGTACTCAAATCAATGTTGTCATCTTCAAACTCAACGTCGTATTCTTTCACTTGACTGTTGATGGCATACGCTGCCGAAGACATTGTTCGAACGAATCCAAGAGCGTTTCCAACCTGTAACAAGATTTTAACCATTTCTGAACATGAATGAAACCTGAGTGACGAGCTCTCTCAGCTTGTCCATGTAGGATTCTTCCTCGTCTCCTCCTAACTTTTCCAAAGTCTTATTGAACTTTTCAGCTCTCTTAACTGGATACTAAAATACTTCATTGTCTTTCACACCCAACGGAATACAAACCAAATGATTGTAACTCTCTTTCTTCTCAGCGAAGTGTCTCCTATCGCGTTGGAGCTGAGCTCGGATGTGTTCATCGGAAAGGAATTGAGCCAAGATAGAGAACTTAGTTTTCAACAACTGATAAACGATATTGACACTCGTATTAAGTATCCCGGTGCCGTGTGTTCTTAGAGAAGCTGTCATATGTTCCGATGTTACCACACGAATGGTTTTATTCGGAGAAGTTTTTTCTACAAAAATCTGAGGAGCGATTAAGTAAGAATTCGAGATGGGCATTTACCTGATGATTAATGCAGTAGTTGAACCCAACAGTGAACTGCTGCAACGTCAGAATCACATACTTGATATCCAATCCTTGATCAATGGAATGATGAGGAAGATCACCGGATATGAGGTTTAGACCGAACCTAAGAAAAAAACTTTTTAAAATAAGATATAGATAAAAACCTCTCTTCAGCTAGGAGAGCCATCTTGCAGTATGTATGGCAGTCATGTAGTGAGACAGCAGTCAAATCATAGAAGGTGGTTTCAAGATAGTTTTCCACGAATTCTGAAAACACATAAGACAAGATACGGAACAAGAAAAAACCTTTGACATCGTAGCATTTATCGTAAAGCGGAAGAATTGGCTTTTTCAACAATCTTCTTAGGAAGCCCAATTTGATATTTGAAGTTTTGTCAGCCTCGGCAACAGCCAAGTGTTTGTGAGTCAGAACTCTCAAGTCATTCTCCACTAGGCCGCATGAGGGAACCAGAAGCCCCTACGAAAAAAACACTAAATGAAAATTTCTGGATGCTTACGTTTCGCATATGGTTTGCTAGTTGGTTTTGAACAGTCTCATAGAACTCGTCACTTCCATTCTGAGACAAGAGAGAAAGGCAGTCGGTTTGCGCAAATAGGAAACACTGCAAACCTAATATGATGGATACAAATAAGTGAATACCTTCAAAGAAGAATCACTCGGGATTCTGTCGTAGATGGTATCCCAATAAATTTCAAACAGAACTTTTTGGAAGAAGATGAATGAACAGTCACATCCTCTGAACGAGAGACCAGCGTTGAAATAAAAGCAAGTTCAAACCTCTCTATGAGTTTCAGTGGTTGGAGAAGAGTATGAATACGAGTTAGTAAGCCTTCCATTTGTGCAATATCAACAGGTTTCAGTAGCTTCTGAAGTTTTGAGATAAAACTAGAGAACGATGATAACTCACATCATACTGTGCCATTTCCAGGGAGATTCCACAAACTGTGAGCCTAGTTCGAGAAGCTGTGAAGGACTCTGATCAAAGCTAGACAATGTCACTCACCTGATGATGCCATTGAGATTATAGCAGTGTCCAAAGCCGACACTTTATCTTCATCGTTTTGTTCACGAGCTTTAATCTTCAGTTTGTTAAGCATCGACAAGATATGAGCTCTCCACTGTTGACTGGCTAAAGATATAGCCTCATGCAAGAGTCTCCAGTTCTTGTGGAGCAGCAATGATATAGCCTCAAGAATCACTCAGCGTTAACCAACTCTACCTTGTCAAATCATTACCTTCACACTTTCAATGAACTCGAATACTTGGAAGGCCATCTTCTTGGATAGCTTCAACGATTCTCTAGGACCATACAGAATCATTTTTAACAACTTCGACATTGTGTCTGCTAATCTCACTCCCTTAAAATGAATTATCGCCTCAGTAATCGAATGATGCGGGAAACTTACCCTCAGAACAAATTCAGAAAGTTTCAGGCTTCGGGCCGCATCTACTTTTCCGGCCCTAGAAAACTCTTCAGATATTTCTATAACCCATTCATTAGCTGGGATAAGCAAAGCTACAGCCTCCGTTACAAAAGTCTCAGTCGTGAATGAATCTCTATAATCGTCTTAGTAAGGAAGGGGCCACAGGCTAATGATTTTTCATTTTCAACACATTATTAGGAGAGAGCGGTTCATCACGCTGTGTTCACCTAGAGTCTGCGAGTACCGCTATCTACACTCACTCACCTGAAGTTCTGTACAAGTGAAATACTTTTCTTATCTACGATATTATTGATATCTCCCACTTCTCTTAGTAGGAAAGCACACGGACTCCACAAAATGTCACCAAATAGGTAGAATGCTATCATCTGAAATGAAAGTTTCATAAACATTCTGGTAGTCAGAAAACTTTTTTGTGCGATGCCCAAACTGTTTTCAAGAGCTTGGTGCTAGGTTTGGGAAAGTGAAGATGGTAGAACACCGTCAGAGACACAATAGCCATAAGCTTTCTCTTTTCCGGAACATCGACCTCTGGAATGAAGAGCGTTTCACATACGGAGATGAACTTAGCTACCTGCAGCTTTCTCCCACTTCTGGTACATAGTTGTGATATTATCTTTCATTCTAGTTGCAAACGTTGTATCTTCGTCCAACTCACCAAAGCATTGTTCGTAACAGTTCTTAAACCAGGGAATGCCAGAGTTGGAACTACAAACCAACCCTCAAGCCATTGCCGGACATTATGCACCCTTCAATCAAAACTAAGTTGGACAACAATGGTGTTATATCTTCCGGTAGAATGTTGAATTTACTAGGATAGTGCTGCACAGACTCAATTGCTCTTGAAGAAATGATATAATGATTGCGAACTCTACATAAGCTCAACTTCCTATAAACATCCCAATGCTGCTTCGTGATAGGACGACTGAGATAAATTTCGTCCATTTGAACCAACATGGATAATAGTTCACCTAATGCCTTCCATACACGTTGGAATGTCTTTTCTCCGCTTCCTTTAACTTCAGAACTACTGGAAGACTCGTTTTTGAAATTGACATCACAAGTTACACGCTCTTACTCAAGTTTGAAGAAGTGTCGCAGCTGTTGCAGAAGATTTCTGAAGACCTCATTGACACGAGATATGAACGACGATATGTCCAGCAGAACCGGGAGAAACTTAGCCATACTTGTTATTATCTGAGATTCGGTCGTATTCTCTCTGGAGAGAGCTGCAAAGACAGTATACTAAAGAAAATCATGGTAGGAGCACCTTCTTCACTGTAGAGAAGCAATGTAGGAAAATGTCTCTCCGTCGCATCGCACATAAGCTTGTTAGTTTCTTCAACTAGTTGCGAAAACACTACTATACATTTATTTACAGTTGTATCTTTAGGAATCAGAGAGGAGATGCAAACTTTCTCATTAGAAACATCCTTGAAAATAGAAAGTACAGTTATAAAGCGGTGACCATGCGCACCTCCAAGAGTATTGTCTCCTTCGATTCCTTGGATGTAGGAATAGACTTCAATAAGTTTTCAAAAGCACGCAGTTCATGTGCGATTGCTCGGCCTTAAATGTTTTTAGCTAGTTTATTCCGACTTGTGATACCTCTAGTCGTTTGTTCCATATATACTTCATTCAAGTGACTCACAGCTAAACGGGAACATGTCTGATCTATGTACTATACTAGCAAGGTATCTGATTGCCTATGGATATATTGACCCGTACATCTTGATGGGAAGTGGTCGTAAAAAAGACATTTCATTAGTTCTCTAACAAGCAACAAAAAAATAACAAAGATAAACAAATCAACAAATAATATTTGCAAACAAAACAATCATTCTTCTGACATATCAACATCTGATGTATCCACGAGTCTACTAGCACCCAATCGTTCAACCTGCAAGCATAACATGAATGAAGCCTTAGTAATGTTAGAACTCACTCTGGGATTATAGGTCCATTTGGGGAAAGATCTCTTATATAATGACATCATTACAGCATCTTGGGCATTCAACTGCTGATCGAATCTACACTTCATGTGACCATGAGTACCTTAATCAGAGTCAGAGAGAGAAATGATAGAGGGAACTACCAATTGATTCCTTGATATGACCACGACGACCTGAGGGAGTGTAAAGCTCAACAGGCTTGAACCAGTCGATATCCTCTGTAAAAAACTATTTTAGTTAAGTAAGCAAGAAATGAAACACAGCCGGTTATGCAACAAGTCGCAATCGAAATGAAGAATGCCGCCATGGAAGTTCGACGTACCTTTATTGAAGAACATGTATCTGGTCACTACTGATCTCTTGTTGATTTTGAATGGATGGCCTGATAAGACAACACGCTTCAAAATTATTCTGTCAGGATTATTATCGAGGATGGATCCCGATGCAACCAACTCCTATTCAGAAAAGATATTCACGAAAGTTGAAGAGTGAACTAACCTGACGTCCTTTGCCGTCTTTACGGAAAACTAGTACTGAAGACGGAGGGAAGGTGATAGGGGCAAATACTGATGCTACACAATTTCCATTTTGTGGAAGGAACCTTTCCATTTTAAATTTATCTCCATTCGTGTGTTGACTGAATATGGGCTCTGCTTCGAACTTACGGAACCCTACTTGGAAAATTAGTTTCTGTAAAATAAATTAGTAAGAGTCGATAAGCCAGGGATTTATACCGTTTTCCCCATGATTGGAATGGTACAGGTAGGATGTCTCTTGATTGCCATATTGAGCACGGACATTTTCTGTTCGTGAGGAAGAAGTTGATATACAACCAAGTATGGGTAAGAAGATACTTCTTCTGAAAGAAAGAAACTGTTCAACATCATCGAATTATCTCCAATCACCTTTGAGAGTTACGGGGACTCCCTCGATTTGAATTGTAACGTATTGACCAAATATGACACCATCTTCAGGATCTACTCCACTCATAACAGTCTTTCTCGTTTTCTTGAAGTTTTTGAATTTGAAAATACGAGCATAGTCATAAGGCAAATTTTCTAATGCGTCCCATCGTGAGGTTCTATAATTGTAATTGAGAACGAAAACTCGAAAATACCAAACCTAAAACTCTTCATTCCTCTGTATTTCTGGAACCTGATACGCGCAGGAATTTCGACAGGAGTATCAACTTCATCGGGGAACTGCATGTCTTCTCTTTCTTTTCTATATTTTTCGACCTAGGGGATATATTGTAAAAAAAACTTGTGTATTGGGAATGATACTTCATCCATATTAATTTCGTCATCCAGAAACTCTGATCCAGCCTCAGTCATTGCGTCATCCATGTTAACTTCTTCACCCTCGTCGTCTTCTTCTTCATTAGTTGGTTCCAATCCCTCCATATTGATATCGGCGTCCTCATCATCATCATCGTCTTCGTCGTCATCATCGATGTCTTCTTCCTCCTCAAAGAAAAAAGAAATAATAAGCCATTCCATGAACGAATTCAATACCTCTCCATCGACATCTTCGTCATCACTTTCAAGAATCCAAGCTGCTTGATAAGCTGACGTTCCCTTAGGTACTTTCTTAATATTTCCTCTCTCCAATACTGAAAAGAATTGATTTCGTAAAAAAATTGGAGAAAGCACACTTACAATCTTCGTCACCAAGAACATCGTGCTCGTCAGGCCAAGTCTGCTCAGCATCCATGGGATCCGGAACGATTTCTGATTGTAAAGTTTCTTGCTTTTCTGGGTCAGCTTTAGCGAGCTCCGAATTTTCAGAGCTAGGTTTATTCTGGAAAAAAAGATAAGCAACATTCATAAAAGAGATTAACCTTGAGAAGGTGAGGATCAGCATGACTCTTCACTGAGCTAACTTGGAAATCTCCCCATCCAGGGAGATGAACCAGATGATTGACATTGAAATTTGGACCACGAATATAGCCAGTAACATTCAATGTACAAACACCATCCTGCAATCAAGTTTAAGTGAATAGGAAAATTCTCTGTACTAACTTTTTCATTGGAAACTTCCAACTCTTCTGCAAGCAGGTGAGAGCGACGTTGTTGAAGGAGTAGTCTACTCTTCTTAGTTTCCAAAATGGCTCGTATGACTTGGAAGCCGTCCGTCACATTAGAAGCATTATATATTTTATCTTTCATCAAACTCCTAAAGAATTATATGTCAATGAAAGGTGCATGACAGACTGACCATTTGGATATAAGACTAACAGCAGCTTTGCGAGCTTCATCTTTTTTCTTGCCACTCTGTATAGCTCCCAAACCAGGAACAACATTAATGTAGGTAGGTAATCCTAAAGAAGAAGGGATGAATTTGAGTTGACTGATGATGTTGAGACTAACCATGAGCTTTAACAGCCCCGATAATAAGCTCTTCCCATGAGGATAACTCGGTTTCTATAGGCCAAACAAAACAGACGACATCAGACACCTTCAATTCAAATCAATTAGATTTCATTTATCTGAGTGTGAAACCTTTAAGCATTCTAGAACTTCATCGATGTTTGTAATTTCAGGAAGTAGGAAGCCTACTCTAGCTTTGAATCTGGGTATGCTGAAGAAAACAGGCAACTTCAAGAAAACACAAGCAAGATGACTCACGCGAAATATGAAACATTTCTTCCTTCGGTTCTCTGTATCGTTTCATCACATTCTTGAAGTTTGTTCACGAACTCATGCTTATCCACAGCACCACCGAATACGATTACAGTCTGAAGCAGCAGTTAGAAACTAGTAGAAATAGAAAAATTACCGTAAGAGTAGGAGGAGCATCTGCTCCCAAGTACTTTCTCCGTTCCTCTAAGGCAATTTTAGTTTTGGAGGCTCTTTTTTGTACGGTCTGATTCACACGTTCATTCCTTGACAGCGAACGATGGCTTGATGCTGTTCTTTTAACATCACGTTCAGCAACTCTTCCTACAATATTACAATGAGCTTTCCTTCTCGGAATAGTCTTTCTCCACCTCTGTTCTGCTCGTCAATCTGTCCTTTGGTGCGATGACCCTTCCATGACTTATGCGGTTTAGCGGGACGTTTGAATGAACCAGCTCTGTGACCTTCTCCCATTCTAATACGAAAACTCAAAGAAGAATTTGAAAGATTTTGAAAGGTATAAAAACAATTGCCAATGTTGAATGAAATAAAAATAATTTAAGTTTACTTTAAGATCAAAAGAAAGTCACAGTCCAACTAATCTTATCACAAACGTATGACATTAAACAAGTAAAACAAACTTCAGATATTATAAAACGGATGTATCTGAACATAACTCGCTAAAACCACAGATGTGAACAACCCTTAGTTCGGTAAATACTTAGAAAACAAGCATAAGCATTATATTAAACAATAAATTATAGAACTTTTCAACAACCAGTCAGTAGATTCACAGATCAAAACCAGTGAAGTCACCAAATTCCCAAATAACACGGCGCTCGCGACGAGCCCTCTTCTCAGCATCTTGATATTGTGAAACCTGCAACATCAAGAATATACTTCCTCGCATACGCAAAAAATTATTACCAAATCTTGCAATCTAGCTTCACGTCGTTTGTCAGCAAGAGCATAACCTTCTTGCACAAGGGTAAGACCAAGGTCAGTCTTCTTTCCTTGATTCTCAATGAATGCTTGCACATATTCCAAGCTTCCAGCTTTGTATTCAACGTTAATGTCGATGATTGGAGTAGAAGTAACGTAGTACTCGAAAGCATCTTCAGCTTGTCGTCCGTATTCCTTGTCGAATGGAACTTGAGTAAGTGCAAGAGCATATTCCTTGGAGAAACCTGGATGGTTAGCGAATCCAGCTGGCAATTGAGCCAAGGCATTACTGGCAACTGATTCTTTCTAAACCGATCAATCATAATATCGTATATGAACAAGATCACTTACGTTGCCGTAATCGATGAAAGTAACCTCTGATTGACCAGAACGAACAGCGTCAACACGAGCTCTGTACCATTGTCCATCAGCAGAGAAAGGAGCTACACAAAGATCTCCCTTCTTAAAAATAGGAAATGAAATATTACTTCAAACAAATTCACGTACTCTTGGAACGTAAGCTCCAGTCATAGGCTTGTTCTGACTGAGGTTCTCTCTCAAATCAGCCATAAGCTTCTCGAGCTTAGCTCCATCCTCAACGTGTTGAGCAGAGAATTTGAAGCTGAGATGTCTTGGCTTATCTCCCTCGAGAGTGAAGTTGTTTCTAGCGATGTCACTAACAACAATCTTCTTCATGTTAACCTTTCTCTCGCTAGTGTCGTTTTGAGGTTCAACTGTCTCTTCAACTTGAGCTTCCTCCTTGTAGTTGGCCCAGATGTTTCTTCTAAAGATTAATGAACGACATTAAGAAATACAACCTAATTATTAGTACCTGGCGTTTCTGGCTCTTTGTTCAGCAGCAAGGAGGGCAGTGTAATGACCACTCTTTTCAGCTGTGAAATGAACAGAAGCCAATCCTTGTTCCAAGAGAAGTTCACTGAGATTCAATGGACGACCTCCATCAGTGGATACGAACAAGTAACCAACAAAGTTGCCCATTTTGTCGATTCCTTCGACTTCAATCTCAACTTCTCTCTGAAGAGTAAGGTTGCGAGTGAATGCAGTAGCTTCATTGGAGAATGGTTCGTCAACTCCGGTTACTCCTCCTGGTCCAGAACGGGCAGTCTTTGGAACACTGATTCCGCTGAGAAGGAAAGTGATGATACAAGTTTCCTTAGGGATATAGACTCTCATGCGAGATCCACTGCTAATAAATTCAACAACACCTTCGGATCTAAACATATATTGTAAGAGCAGAGTAAAAATGCTGTTCTTCACCTTGCGCTTCTTTGAAGGTATGGAAGGAATTGCTTGCTTCTTGCAAGATCTCCTTGAAGTTCTTGGATTCTAAGGGTATCCTTCTTGTCAACTGACTTGTCAGCGAACAATCCCTTCTTACTCTTTTCAGCATTGGCTTCGGCAGCGAGAAGTGCATCATATTCAGAAGATCTGAAGATATAAGTTTACAAAGAAACATGATGATGGAAACCTGTTCTCATCGTCAGCACGGTGACGTACAACCTTGCTCAAACCGCGAGAGATAAGACCTTCAGCGATGTTAGCGTCTCCTACACGAATTGTACAGCAGATTTTCTCTGGGTATTGCTCAGATTTGGGTTGGATATAATCGACGGTGATGTTGGCTTTCTTTCCGACAAGACGTTTTCTGAGGAATTCACGAGCTTGGAACATGAATGGAATGTCATAAAGTGGTCTGAATTGACGTCCAACGGCGGGCTTATCATCTCCGTCTCCCCTGAAAACAGAAAGTTGAAAAGGAAAAATGATTATAAGGAAACCTTGGAAGTCTGACAGAGGACAAGAAAATCTTCTGATCAGTGCCATCATCTTTTTGTACAATCATAGCATCAGACATAACGATCTCAATAACTTTGGCGGAGAATGCTTTCTTGTCAGCGGAAAGTCCTCCAGTTGGAGATGTGTATGAACGCCAGAGACGAACTCTCTTTTCCTTGGCTTGTCTAAAAAAAAAGTTTACAAAAAAAATAACAACTTTGAATTACCTCTCAGCAGTTCTTAACTTTTCAGCTCCACCAGTGCAAAGTCCAATGCTCCAGTCAACGCATTTGGCAAACCCTTCTCTAAGCAGAGACTCGGCAATGTTTCCTCTTGGGTGAACTACAGATCCAACAATATTCTGATTGGAAACGGACTCGAGAATAACCTGAACATAACTTTGTTCTTCGAATGCATCTCCAAACTTACTTGAAGATCTTGCTGGAGTAGTCTAGTCTCGGCGAAGTGCTTGGCTTCCTCAGAGAATGGCTCAGTTTTTCCGTCAGCTCCTGATCTAGTAACTGGAGCTCTAACTCCAGAAAGTTGAAGAGTGATGTATTCAAAGCTAGGGAGAAGAAGGACACGGAATGTTGATCCATCACGAACCTGAACAATCATGTAACAAAATAACAAATAGGTAAACACGAACCATCTCAACTACAGCATCAACTGGCTTCTGCTTGTATTGGTCAACAAGAGCACGAGGATTATCAATGACCCACTTGACTTCTCTGACAGGCTTTGGGTTGGTGCTCCATTTACCTTTTCCAGAAACTTTAGCTTGATCTTGCAACTCATTCAACTTGATTGAGTATTCACTATAAACAAGCTGACTTATTTGCACGAAATTAAAAATGAAACTAACTCTGGAATCTTGGATTGACGCACTTCAAGTAATCCTTCAGCAACTGCACTCTCAGTAACATTCTCAGCGTTCTCGGGGTCTGAAAGAAAACTGTATCATGGGGACCTGTGGTAGTGCTTACTAGTTCCTCCAAGATAGATTCTTCCGTGATCACGACCGGAAGTAGCAGTATAGTCCTTGACGAAAGTGACAACTTGACCAACGAGTTTCTTTCTGAGAAACTCACGAGACTCCCAAGCATATGGCTTAATCAAAATATGTAAAACAAATGATGCAATTCAAATCTTACCTCATCTGGAGTAGCAGGGGTGGTTTCGGTTGGTCTCTTTCCCAAACGAGGAGCTGTTACATTACTCAAATACACAGTAGTCTCTGGTGGTGGTCCTCCTTGAGCAGGTCCTTGCAATACGATAGCATCACCAGAAATTACCTATTGATAGAGATGCTTGAAGAAGTTGCAAAAGGATGACTTACTTGCTTGACAAGCCCTCTTCTGAAAGATCCTTGCGCAGACTCAGCCATGTTGTGTTGAAGAAAAGTACTTCAGTGTAAAATTTACCCTATAAGATACGATATTGATTTAGAAAGAACACAATAACAAAAGGAAATTATGTAGAATTGGCTAAGTCTGCAAAGCAACCCAAATAAAAAAGAAACAGTAATCGAGCTGCATGGGGAGATTGGTCCTGGCGCGAAAAATATTGATGTTAGAGAGAAGAACATACGGGTCAGCATGAGAAATATGTTATAAGTCTGTGTTTTAGAATGATTGTTTCGAAGCTTTTCAAGCTCGATGCTTACCTAGAAAATATGAAAAAAATAATGAAAAGTTTGTTGACCTGTAGATCCAACAAACATGGAACCGTTCTTGTAAAGTCTGTTTGCTTCTGAACGTGGTTTTACCAAACTCTATCATCAAACTATATTTTCTAGCTCAAAACATGTTTTATAAGTACAAAGAGGAAATTCTTGATACAAAAAAATCAGTGAGTCAAGAGAGGAGATAAGGTTTATAACATTCGGTTGATAATTTTGTGCGAAGATCGGCTGAGCGTAGGGAATTTTAGACTTGGAAAAGCTCGTCAGGCGATTTTCCTAGTTTTTGAAACTTTCCTCGAAAATGTGAGAAAGGAACTCATGGCTGATAAGCGTCTGAAGCCTATCAATTATACAAATAAAACTTGAAGCTTCGTTCATCCTTCTTGATGAGTTCTACTTGCAACAGTTCCGCTTAGAGATAAGAGGGAGACTACGGAATGGGGGCAACTTCAAGATCCTCTTTTCAAATGCTAGAGATATGACTTTTAAAAAATTCATTAACAACTAAGCAACAAATAAAATCAACGATCAAGTAAGTTAACATCAAAGTTAGAATAGTATACATCCAACAAAAAATAACAAATTTTCAAAAATTTTACATTGTTTCCAAGCCCTCCATGTAATCTGCTAGACCATCGGCTTTTCGTGCTTAACAAGAAATCATTGTAATGGTTCAAAAGACTTCAACTCACCAAGTTTCTTTTGTTTCTTCTTCTGTCCTTTGACTGCCTTCTTGATAAATCTGTTCAGTTGAACATTTCCATCAATTTTCAGATTTGTGGGATCAGATATAGCCTTCTCTTCCTTATCCTCTTCCTTCTTCTTCCTCTTACCACTAGTTACAACAGTTGTGCCTTCTAAAGAGCGAATTACAAGGTTGAGAAGGAAACTTGGGAAACTAACTTTCTCCATCTACTTCCATTTCATTCTCTTCATCTTCCTCATCGTCATCTTCTTCAGCTTCACCTCCTTCCATAGTAAAATCAGGACTGTCATCCTTGAATTCAGGTAAACCTAAATACGTGGACAGCTCATTCTATGATCAAGATCAAACTAAACATACTCTGAATGATTTCGTTCTGTTCTTGGAACAATGAGTCAATGTCGAACTCTTTGCTGAATGTCGAAACAATTTCGGTAGAAATGTGTTGGTTGTCATTCTTGTTAGATGTTTCAGGAGGATGAGTGAAGTATCTCAGCTTTCCCGTATTCCAATGGTTGAGAACCTAAGCCACCACATGAACCAGATTAATGAAAAAGCTCATACGTGTTTTGCAGCTGCGTTTGTGTCTGGTCTAGCTCCTCTTTTTAACTTTCCCAGTTTGCGAGCAAGTAACGCTAAGAACTGATCCACAGAGGTGAAGGTGGCGATTCCAAAATGCAACATCAGCTGGAACATTTAGCATAAACATCGAAGCTTGTAATAAACTCACAGTGTCTTTACTACATCTACGAAGAATGGCATGAACAGGGGCTACGGGATCCAAGAGACTATCAATCTTGACAGCATTTCTCAAGGCAACCTAATTAAGTGTGAAATAAAGATTAACAAAAAGCCGACATACTTCCACGGGATCCAAGTCTTTGTTGCTAATGAGAACCACTCCGGGAGAATCTAACAAGCGAATGTTCTTATCAAGCTCTATCTCTTGAAGTTCTTTTGTAATTCCAGGAGTAGCTCCCACATTACAAGCGCGAGTTCTCTTCAGACTGTTAATAACACTACTCTTACCAACATTAGGGAAACCTGAAAGTTAAAACCTGAAGGAGCATAAGAAGCAATTACGAACCGACAACTCCAACTCTGATACTCGTTTTGATATCTTTGTTTCTGCAGTAGTTTCCGAGTAACTTCATAACCAAATCCGCTCCAATACATTTAGATGTCCCGGAATTACTCAAATTGGAACTATTGAATCGCCCCAAATTCTTTTTCTGATCTTGGGTACTAGCTTTGAAGGCAATTGTAGGGAACATTCCGCGGAAATATGCTAACCACTTGGATACATTCTCTTTCGGCACAAGATCGATCTGAAATCGAACTTCAGCATTGAACGAATATGAGTCAAAACCTTATTGAGTAAGAAAACCAAACGTTTTCCTCCCTTGATTACTTGCTCTTCAACAGATTGACTTCTACTTCCAAGAGGATCACGAGCGTCTAACACCTAAAGATCGAACAAGTTTTAAGAAATGGTTTTTTGAAAATTCACTTACTTGTATAATGACATCAGCGATCTCAATGGTCTTTCGAACTTCACTAGCATATGCGCGGATAGTTCTATCATCCATAGTGTTAATTTTGAAATCTGATTTGCGTCTGATCTCAAATTCTTCCCCTTGTTTGGTAGCCTTGGCTGCTAAACTAGCAATATCCAAAGGTTTAGACTTTTTCAAAACTTGTAGAGCTTTTAACGCTTCCTAAAACAAAGACTACAATTTGAAACGAGAGTGGAAAAACTTTTTTAGCTTCATTTTGTGCTTTTATGCGTTCCCTAGTCTTCTCAGCCTCAATCAAAATGTCTTCTTTGAATGGACATGAGTTGGGCACAGGTATTATCTTCTCAGCTCTCTTCTTCAAACCTGTAGATGGATGTGATACACTTGAATACTACACCTACTAACCTGATTTCTTAGCTTCTCTTGCTTGTTTCTTATTATGTTGCCTCACTTTCTTTTCGATTTTATACCTTTTAGCGCATGACACTCTTTTACTTGCTTTTTCTGAAGATGCATTCGGTTTAGGTCGCAAAGTAAATGCACAACTTACTTAAACAATACTTGGCCATCGCTAACTCTGGCACTGAAAATAAAAATTTGTTTACAACTGAAATAAACTTTAAAAAAATTTAAATGTTTTAGGATTGCAAGTTTTTATCGTCTACGCAAAAATACGAACTACGTACAAATCATACCGTAACCCTAAATTGCATTGCCTGTTCCGATTCAGTCGCTGAATGTAACAGTTAGGAGTACATCACATAACGTTGCGAAACGTAACCCATAAACAGTCCAGAATTGAGATATCTGAATAGAAAAAGTTAAGCGGATTGTCAAACATGACAAACACCTCTTGCCGAAGTCAACCAATGGGTACTCAGTCGACAAGAAGTAATCTGGCCAGCAGAAAGGTTCCGCTCCGAACAAAACTTTTTTTTATCTTGTGAATGCGACAGGGATGATATCTGGCATTAACCAGATTGGTAACAATAGGTCAATCTCGACACTCGTAGGCTTTTCATCATTTGAGTATAAAGTTGGAAGAACCACACTACAATTCAAAAACCGTTTTCGATTTCAGCGTGAAAGTTTAACGATGTTCGAACTCGTTCCGTTCAGAGATATCAAAACGAACTTGTTGGGTTAATTGCAGTCTATATAGATTGTTGTTACCATAACAAATCGTCAGGATCGTTCAGAAGATCTACACTACTCTGTTTGTGTAATATAATCATCCATTTTGGCTTGGTGAGTCATTCAATGATATTCATCTTCAAATACTTATTTTGCCATCTGTTAAACGAACTTCTAATCCAAGGAACGTGCGTTTTTAAAGAAAAGGGCAACATGTGTAATGCAACTGCTTACGGTGCGTCTGGCGTCTGTATATGCTGCTGGGTCATCCGCCGTAAACAGGGCAACTCTGACAAGCCTCATTCAATCTCGAACTCTGTTCTTCTATCCGCCACTCTCACTGAGATATCCAAAACTTATTTTTTTCGAGAACTGAAACAAACGTCTCCCCAACTCTCGTAATTGTTTGTTTGTGAAGCGTCGAGGCTTCTCACTAACATAAAACTTCTGTACCACCTGCAGTTTGCAGCCTTCTAATCTTTTTATGTGATTAGTTAAGTGACACTGTTTTGTTTTCAAGATCAATATCTGAATGAACGGACTTCAAAGATTCATAGACCTTAGCCAGCTGTCCTTTTTTCCATAGCACTGACTTCTTCCATCCGAGCGTAGCACCACTTACTACCCCTCTATTTCTATTTCCTCTTTCCGTTTTCACACTCATTTTCGTCCATTCATCGATTATTACTATTACGCATATATTTCCCCAATGAGATCTTCTCTTTCACCTTTTAATAATGACTTTTGTAAAATAGAAAGCGGAAGTTATGCTCTTCCTCAGTTCCCATTTCGAAAATCGATTGAAAAGCATTTGCGAATCGAACTAAGGTCGATCATTTCTAGGATCTCCAGATTGGTAATTATGCTAGCAATAGCTTCAGAATATTCTTGCATTTCTCCAACGTCAAACCGGTACTCAAGCCACTAGACCTCAGCTTTCCTCAATGACGTTCCGTCCTCCTTTTCGTCACCTCCCTTATATAATCTTGAATAATTAAAACTCCTTCTTCGTATCCACTAAGATTCTGTTTTGCAGACATGCGGCTGTTGCTGCTACTGTCCTCGCTCGTCTTCATTACTACTTCAGCTCTTGAGCAACCTGAAGTCTTGGTTTATACAGTCGCGACCGAGAAAACCGATGGATTAAAGAGATTGCTGGCTTCGGCCGAAACATTCAACATCAATGTGAATGTTCTGGCTCTAGGAGAAGAATGGAGAGGAGGTGACACTCGTGTTGAACAGGTGAGCAAGTTTTGTTTTTATGATTAGCCCAATGTCTGAAAAACAAACTATAACAACAACCATTTAAGGGAGGAGGACAGAAAATTCGACTCCTGAGAGAGGCTCTTGAGAAGCACAAGGACAAGAAAGATACAATTGTACTTTTCGTGGACGCGTATGTTTTCATTTCATTACTAGAACTTCTCTTTTCATTTTGAATTTCGCTATGCTTGAACTCGGTTGTGCTTCTTCAAGTTCTCTCCCCCAACTCCATGACGACTTGACCGCTTTTTCGTTTCAGATATGATGTTGTTTTCACAAGCGATTTGAACACGATTCTATCCCGTTTCTTTGAGCATTTTGAAGATAAGAAAGTTTTGTTTGGAGCGGAACCTTTCTGCTGGCCAGATCAATCCTTGTCGACTGAGTACCCATTGGTTGACTTCGGCAAGAGGTGTTTGTCATGTTTGACTATCCGTTTAACTTTTGCTATTCAGATATCTCAACTCTGGACTGTTTATGGGTTACGTTTCTCAAATCTATGAAATCGTTAGTTTCCAAGAAGTAGCCGACAATGACGATGATCAACTCTACTATACTCACATATATTTGGATGAGAAGCTCCGTGTTAGTACTTGACATGAATTGAGATGCTCAAGATTGGTTGTTATAGAGAGACTTAGCCATAGGATTAGATTCCATGTCACGCATTTTCCAAAATTTGAATGGAGTTGTGGATGATGTTGAGTTACAGTTCGATGATAACGGAGACGCATTGGTAGTATATTTATACCTTCTTGCCTGAATACACTGTTTCCAGGCTTACAATGCTGCTTATAATACTCACCCGGCCATTATTCATGGAAATGGTCCGAGCAAGAAATATCTGAACTACTTAACCAACTATCTAGCCAAAAGATGGTCTTCAGCAACCGGTTGTTTCAACTGTGGAGACAAGAGCCGTTTGGATCTAAGCGTAAGCTTGCAAGTTCATCTCTGCCATTCAAACGTCTATTCTTCAGGAGAAATCTGAAGAGGATCTGCCATTGATAACGGTCTCCTTTGTCATATCAAAGCCTATTCCGTTCGTAGAAGAAGTGCTGAAAGCTCTCTCCGAAGTGGAATATCCGAAAAGCAGAATAGCTCTTTATGTATTCAATAACCAGAAGTTCAACATCAAGACTGTATGTTTTCTTCATTTTACATGAAAACTGTCGTTCTATAGGTTCTAGACTTTGTGTCCGAATTCGGAAAAGAATATCACACTAAGAAGATTATCAATGGGGATGAAGCGATATCAGAGCGTGATGCCCGGAACGAAGCCTTGTACGTTTAGAAAAGCATGAAAAGAACTGATCTTAGAGTTTTCAAGGGATTTCGCTGAGCGAGTTTCATCAGATTATCTTGTTTTCCTTGACGCCGATGTTATAATTACCGATAAGAAAGTTTTTCATAGTCTGATAGAATACTCTGTCAACTACGATATGTAAGTGAGATCAGGGATTTCGCTTCATACATTATGTTCTAGCGGAATAGTTGGCCCATTCATAAATCAACCAGGAAAGTTGTTTTCTAACTTCTGGGGAGCCATCGCTTCGAATGGATATTATGCTAGAAGTGAAGACTACATGGCTATCGTGCATAGAAAGAGAAAAGGATACTTCAACGTAAGTCTATCTTGATAGTTCTTGTCTAATTATCGGTCTACAGGTGCCATTCTTAACATCCTTGTTGTTGTTGAATAAGGAGAAGATCTCCGCCATGAAAGGTGCTTTCTCCTATTCGTCTCAGATTGATGCAGATATGTCGTTCTGTAAGTTTGCTCGAGACAAAGTAAGCTTCTTCTTCACTGGGAACAACCACTTATCTGTGAATTCAGGGTCACTTTATGTATGTGGACAACGAGCATCTGGTCGGATTCTTGATTATTAATGAAGATTTTATTGAAAATGTGAAAGAAGGGCGTTATCATCCAGAAATGTATGAAATATTCACAAACCGCGAGGTAGGTTCTGGTGTGGGATAGGAGCAACATGAATTCGTTTCAGCTATTCGAAAGAAGATATCTTCACCCTAAGTATAAAGAAACTTTGGAGAGTGAAGAGTTCGTTCAACCCTGCCCAGATGTTTATGATATCCCTTTGATGTCTGAACGCTATGCTAAAGAAATGATTGAGGAGATGGAAGCTTATGGTCAATGGAGTAATGGAAAGAATCAAGTACTATCGTCCCTTCTAAACACTCCTTTCAAACACAGAATTTATAGGATAATCGATTAGCTGGTGGATACGAGAATGTGCCAACCCGAGATATTCATATGAACCAAATCAATTATGAGAGACATTGGCTATACTTCCTGGATGAGTTTGTTCGACCCATGCAAGAGAAGGTTTTCATAGGATACTTCCATAAGGTAGGAAAAAAGAGAAAACGGACTATTCGAACATTAATTCAAGCCTGTGGAATCTCATATGATGTTTGTTGTTCGATACAAACCGACAGAGCAAGCTTCATTGCGTCCTCATCATGATGCCAGCACATACAGGTGACTCGATAGTCAAAGGAAATTTTCTAAACCGTTTCTTACAGTATCGACATTGCTTTGAATAAACTCGGAAAGGATTATGAAGGAGGAGGCGTTAGATATGTTCGGTATAATTGTACTGTGCCAGCAGATGAAGTTGGATACGGTATGATGTTCCCTGGACGATTAACTCATCTGCATGAAGGATTACCCACAACCGAAGGAACTCGATACATACTTGTATCATTTTTAAATCCATAGTGGATGTTGTTGATTTGAAAGATTTTTAACCTCAATTATACACGGGAAGCATTTATAATTTATAATGTAATAAATTTTTATGGAAATATTGAAGTCGTCACGTAAGGTTTTCAGTAAAGACCATGAGAATAGCTGAATGAACAGAAAGATGTTAAATGACAAGGCAACTAGTAAGCTGAAGCACAACCGCTAACTACACTACGTTTCGTCCAAATGAAATCCATTTACAATCATGTATGACAGGAGGAACGTGATCATGTACAACCGACAACTCATGAAAGCTCACACGCAATGATTTCTTAAACTCATTTTCAGTTTCCATTCTATGGGAGTCGGTTGTTCTCGTCCTTGTTTAATCAGGCTTCAACTGCTCCTCGAAGAACTTCATCGGAAAAAGTGCAACAAATATTTAAATTGGTGATAATGTCAAATTTCTCTATGAATGCGGTATTCAGTTCACTAGCTTGTCCCACAGTGGACTGTTCGCGTTTTTTAGCCGTATAGCGCATTTACCAACTGCAGCTTTGCTGCTTCCTAGAGACTACCCGTGCTATTACATAATTGAGTGAGTTTTTGAAGTTTCTCTCTCTTCTTTCATTTATTAATTTTATTAGATGAAGCTTTCACCATTGTCTAATAGATTTAATCAAATTAGACGGTTTTCTCACGGATTTGATTTTGATGTGATTGTGATAGGAGGTGGTCATGCTGGCTGTGAAGGAGCTGCTGCTGCAGCTCGAACGGGAGCCAAGACCCTTTTGTTAACGCATAATGCTTCAACTATTGGAGAAATGAGTTGTAACCCTAGCTTTGGTGGAATCGGAAAAGGTTTCAGTCTTCATGAACATATTCCTCATGTTGTTGCTTAAGGACACTTACTCAGGGAAATAGATGCTTTGGACGGAGTATGTAGTAGGATATGCGATAAATCAGCCATCACTTATCAAGGTAGAATTGGATGTAAGAAATGTGTTTGATATAAAGTTCAGCTCTCAACCGTGGACAGGGACCGGCCGTACTAGGCTTGAGGGCTCAAATTGATAGGTCAATATACAAAAGAGAAATGCAAAAGGCAAGGCGGTTCTTTGTTGCGTTGTTGAATCAGTTTTAGGAAATGAATAATACAAGGAACTTGGAAATAATGGAAGGAAGTGTCGAAGAGCTAATTCTTCGGAATCATAATGATGATATATGTGTTGATGGCGTTGTCTTATCAGATGACAAGAAGATCAGGTACGTTCTGCTCCTAACTTCTCAACTCAAATTCGTTTTAGATCAAAAACTGTTCTCATCACGACAGGTACATTCTTAGGAGGGGAGATATTCTTGGGACCTGAAAGATGGAAAGCAGGAAGAATAGGAGAGCAGGTTTTTATTTTAAATTACGTTTTTCATACATATGATCTACAGAGTGCTCAGGGTCTTTCGAAAGCTTTCAAAGGTATTGGTTTCCGACTAGGAAGGTTACGGACTGGTACACCTCCTAGAATCTTTAGAGTAACAACTTGTTTAATTACTCAATGATCGTATTCTCTTTCTCCCAGAACACCATTGACTTCTCTCAGTTTGAGCTAATGCCTCCTGATACTGTTTCCATCCCGTTTTCTTTCATGACTAAAGAAGTTTGGTTATCTCCAGCAGATCAAGTGATGCTCTTTTTGTAAAGTTTTTTAAACAATGCTCTTCTTAAGCTTCCAACTTACCTTGGAGAAACAAATGAAACAGTACGGAAAGTGGTTTTACGAAACTTACACGAGAATGAGCATGTTGCGAGTGAAACCTCAGGGCCACGCTACTGTCCTTCTTTAGAATCGAAAGTTATACGCTTTCCTGAATTAAAGCATAGGGTGCAGCTCATTCTTGTGGCTAATTCATTATATCGGCTTACAGACTTTCTTGGAACACGAAGGGTTGGATTCGAATCTGATATACCCTCAAGGCATGTCGATGACTTTCAAGCCAGAAGTCCAACTTGAAATCATGAGGTGTATAAAAGGACTAGAAAAAGTGAGAACCAAAAAACATGTTTTTGAGTTTATTGCGCATTGTTGAGGTTGAAATAGCTCAACCAGGATATGGCGTGCAGTACGATTTCGTGGATCCGAAGCAGCTCAAACCCACCTTAGAAACTAAAAAGGTGAAAGGACTTTTCTTAGCAGGTCAAATCAACGGAACCACCGGCTACGAAGAAGCTGCTGCACAAGGTTCGTTTAACAATAGTTATCTGACTAATTATTATTTGTTAGGAATACTCGCTGGAATCAATGCTGGGTTACTCAGTAAAGAAGAAGAAGCATTGATCATCAAGAGGACCGAAGCGTATATCGGTGTTTTGGTGGACGACTTGACAAGTTTAGGAACCAACGAGCCCTATCGAATGTTCACTTCTCGAGCGGAATGTAGATTACATTTACGGTATCTTTCCTTCCTTATTTTCTGCAACAATGTTTCTCACCAGACCTGATAACGCCGACTTACGGCTCACGCCCGCTGGTAGAAAACATGGAGTTGTGAGTGATCAAAGATGGAGCGTGTTCTCGGAGCAGAAAAATGGAATGGATACAGCTACTTCCTTATTAACTGATGTGAAGATGAGCATCGCAAAATGGTCGAGATTACTACCACAACTCAAGAGTAGGAACGCTTCTAAAGGTTGGATAATGATTTTTTATTTATTTGATTTCTAATACTCTTCACAGTGCTGAATGGGTACGAGTTGATTTACCGCCATAATATAAGTATAGAAGAGCTCAAGACAGCTCTGCCAGACCAGTTGGCAGTCCTAACTGGTGATTTGAAAGCACTGACAGCGAGACTTAGCAACGAAGGTAGCTACTCTTTGGATCACAAGCGGATGCAAGATAAGGTTTGGCATAAACAAATTTTTGTCTACTATGCATTTCTTCTTGATTTTCATTTACTACATGGCAAACAGCATTTGTACAAAACGGTTGCATTCGATGAAAGAACTATAGTTTCCGTTTTAGATAGCTGAAATCAATCGCGAATCAGAGCTAGGAGTGCCCGAAGATATAGATTTTAGTAGAATTAAAGGCTTAAGTATGGAATGTATAGAAAAACTAGACAGAGCTCGCCCTCTGAACTTAGCTGCAGCATCGAGGTTAGTGGAAGCTGTGTTGAAGTTATATTTCATGTCTTTCAGAATACCTGGCGTGACCCCAGAAGCTATTGTTGTTTTATTGAGGTTTTTGAAAAAAACTGCTTGAGTCGTTAGAGAGACTTTGTTGTTTATTGTTATCGTTATACATCTTCACATTTTATGAAACATTCGATCTCATTTCGTCTCCTTGCCTTCTTTCAAGTCGTTGAATACCTGGGCAAGCATTTGGTTGCACATAGCGGCATAAGGGTTCAGAGCAACGAGTTGCATTTTCGCGAACGAAGAACCTAAATCTGCGGCTGTTTGAAAGTCTTCCTAGAAATAGGATTATTGAAAATTTAACAGAAATAATGATTCACTCTTGCTGCGTCGTCATTTCCCAGCCTTTTATGGAGAAGGGCTCGTTGAACTAAAGCTTGACAACCACTTTTTCCGTTCGAGTTACTCAGTCTTATAGCTTCTTCGAGATCTTTTAAAGCATCTATAAAAACGATAAATGATGTTCAGATATCCTGGCAGTTTTGACTTTACCTTCATTTCTATTCTGTAGCCTGAATGATTGAGCACGATTGTTATAGGCTGATGGGTTGACTGGACAGAGTTCGATTGCTTGGGTGAAGAGTTCAACCGACTTGTCAATATTTCCAGCTTCAGCTTCTTTCACACCTAATACTTCAGTCTTTTTCGATTCTTCAATATTAGGATGGTCGATAGGAGCTTAATGTTACAATTGGCTTGATATGATATATGTGTTGTGCTACCATCATCAGGAATGGCCTTATCTCCACCGGCAGCATCAGTTGGCATCATTGGATTCAGAATGGCGTTCAAGACAGCAGCGTCATTTTGTGTAGTCATTTCTATAAGTAAGTTTTTTGAATGATTTTTCAATAATCATTGTAGTCAAGAAAAGAAGAAATTGCGGACAAGAATCGAATTTATCATAATAACAATAGGGAGTATGGTGAAACATCTATCATTGAACTATTGATTGCCAACGATAAGACTCTGACAACGTCAACGAAATATAAAATGAAGGAAAGTGTATGATACTGATGATCACGTTTTCTCGCAATATGATTGACTTGCCATCGTAAACGCAGATTTTATTGGATTTGATTTACAATATGTACACTGGTCATGTAAGGCATAATGAGATGGAAATTTTTATCTAGTTGAAACAGTCTACAGATTCTCCTTTGTACTTAGCTGCTACGTTCATATCACCAAAGTCAAAAACTTTTGTAAGAGCTACTTTGCCCAACTCGATGTATTCGGAAGGAACAGCTATGCTGATCTTGCGATAGCAATCCTGGAAAGACAACTCATTAGTTTAATAATTATCTCTGTACTAAGAATGTTAGAAGTATTTAATGACTTACCCCGTCATATTCGCATTTGTGATAGATGTTAACTTTAGGTTCGATCCAGCCTTTCTCGGCTTTGCTTCCAAATACGTCAACTGTTCCAGAGGCGTTCGTGTACTGTTCCATCAACAACACATCCAATACTTAAAAAGAAATGAATGAGAAGACAAAGGAACAGTTTGAACTTACCTACTTCATCTTCGTACAACTTAATTTTAGCTTTCTCTAATGGCTGTCCATTACAGTTGAGTTTTCCAACAACATGAATAGCTTGATCATGGCTCTCGCCGAATATATTAATGATACTGTCTAGGAGTTGAGCTGACGTGGAAGATATGAGAACGAGAAGAAGGAAAGAAGATTGACGGTACATTTCCAGTTCAAGCTGAAACAAATATGGAATTGTATGAGAGACTGAGAGGTAACTTATGATCTATAAGGGGCATGGGCATAGAAAACTTGAAATGACCTTGTTTATCAATTTATTAAATGGGAGCAGACAGCATTACTCATCAAAGCCCACCGTCATCAATCAGGATCACGAACGAAGCGATTTTTGATAACAACAATCTGAAAACCTATGATCAAAAAACTGTGAGTTTGTGTGACTAACTATCCGCTTAACAAGCATCTAAGTGTGACTGTTTCGGTACAGTTTTTTCTCGATGAAATTGTATTTGAAAACCTGTAACAACTTCATGAAACAGAGATTACAAGCTATTGATCTATGGCTTGAGCACAACCGTCTGATGTACGTAACAGCGAGAGAATGAAAATGAGTTTCACGTCAGTTCACGTAATCCGTCACCGCTCACATATGCTAATTACATGGTTGTGATCGAACATCAACAAACAAACATCAACGAAACAGTATTTGAGCGAAAATTTTATTTTCAAATGGTCCAAATGTCTGGGAAGAGGGTAATTCTCACATAACAAGCAATAACATGTGTGAATTTGTCAATATTTGTCTAAGATTTGTGAGTGTTTAACTTCAAGAGAATATACATTGTTTTAGATGTTAAAAAATACTTTTCTTGTGTTTAAGAGCTGTTTAGTTGAAGCAATCAATTGATTCTCCACTGAATTTTCCGGCCATATTCAATGTTCCGATGTCAAACACACGTTCTGCTGTTTCTCCTACATTAATGAAGTTCGTTGGAATATAGATGGAGAACTTCTTATAGCAGGTGCTTGAGAGCATCTGAACAAACATCAAATAAGCCATGTTCATATGATGCTTTGACTTACTCCAGTGAAACCACATCTGTGATAGATATTAACCTTTGGCTCAATTTTGGAGTATTCTGTCTTCCAACCGGAAACCTCAAACTCTCCATCTGAGTTTGTGGTTGTCTCTCCCATCTTCACATCGAAAGCTGAAAACAGCGTATAGAGAGAGGGAAGCAAGAGAGAAGCTCATACTTAGTTCTTTCTCATACAACTTAATTCGAATATTCTCCAATGGCTCACCATTGCACAAGAGTTTACCTTTGGCAGCAGCAGCCTGAAATGATTTGTTGGAAAACACAAGAGAGAAGTAGAAGAGCAACCTGTTTATCACCGAAACCAAGTAAGGCAGTAGTTGTGGCAACAAGTAAGCAAAGAACAGTAACACGAAGCATTGTGGATGAAATCTGAACGAAAGAAGTATGAATTGGAGAAGAACTAGTATGGGATAATTGTGATACATCTATGAAGTTTCCAGGCTATATATGTTCATTAAAAATTTCGAAAAAAAGTAATAGGTGGGAGGTCGATGATGGCAGGAAGGCATTGTTCGGGAAACTTGTCGAGAACGACTGAAAAGGAGTGTAATTTAGATTTAGAAGAACGATAGTTGAGAATAAAAACAAAGAGAGAAATATGATGAATTTGTTGGGGCTAACGGAAATTTTCGTCCCCAAAAAACCTTGGAATGGCAACATGGGTATGAGTAGATAGAGAGGATGAAGGGTGATGGATGGTCGATTTGGGAATGATCGGTTAGTTCAATTTTGATTCAGTTATTGTAATGGCTATTAAGATAACAATTATGACTGAACGACAAAAGGGCTGAAAATGATTTAATCGTTCTCATCTCATAACATCTGAGCGATCAAAGTTTCTAATCCGAATTCGTCTATCATCGCTATATATGGAAACCGGAACAGGATATGACTCATCTCTCATCTGATGACATATGATGTATTTTAAAAAACAATTTTATTTTTGAATGTTTATTTCATTTGAGCTTATGCTAATCATCAATATGACTTAGAAACTGACATACATGAGATTATTGGAATGAGATTGAAGGTATTGCTTGTAATCGCATAGCAAGTCAAGAAATATTTTTCTTAATTGATACAATCGATTGATTCTCCAGTGTATTGATTGGCCAAGTTCAAAGTTCCAATATCGTAGACCTTTTGAGGGTTGGCGCCTCTGCTAACGAATGAGTCTGGGATGGTGATTCCGATCTTCTTGTAGCAGAGCTGGAACAATTAATAAGGTAATTAGAAGATAGATGAATTCTGTGCATACCCCGTTGTAGTTACACTTGTGGTACAAATTGACCTTAGGGTCAATGGTTGAGATTTCTGTCTTGGATCCGGACATTCTGAATTCGCCGTTGTCGTTGGTTTTGGTTTCATCCATCAATACATCGAAAGCTGAAAAAGGATGATGAGGTTAGAGGTGTGATGATGTGCTCACTTGTTTCCTTTTCGTAGAGCTTGACTTTGATGTTACCGGCAGGTCTTCCGTTACAGATTAATCTTCCTTGAACAGCAACAGATTGGGTTCTGCCGATACCCAATAAGGCATCAGTAGCAACGAAACAAGCAAAAGCAACGATAAGTAGAAGAGCTGATGAGTTCATGATCTGAAATAATTGAAAATATGAAAAAGGACTTTGGGCACAGTTAGACAGTTACAATAATGAGGTAAATGTTGGCTGTTTGATATGTTCACGAGTTCATATTTATACCTAATGAAGTGTCCAACCTCCATGAGTCAACAGAGGAATGATATACAACAAGTTGGAAGGTTAATCCGCATTTAAGAGAGAAAATAGTAGAAGAATGAGACAGTATGAGCAGTAGCTAACCAGATTGTAGACTAGAGTATGGCAGAGAGTGAGAAAGAAAAAAAAAGAAAACGGCTTTCATCCAGTCAATATTTGATTATGACTTTTCACTATTGCACAATAGAGAACAAAAATCTCTGTTATATGATCGACGTGAGAGTTGGCATCTGAAATGCTCAAACAGTATGAATATAGGTGATTATTTGTACTGAGGTTGCCAAATACATCTAACTCTCGACTAAAGTTTCTTCAATTATTTACATGTGGTTGTGGAGTTCACCATGAAAACACTTTGATACAATAGACATCTACTTCCACTTCCTAATATGGAATGTTTTCTTTTTTCCCCAATAATATATCCATTTAGATGGCGTCATCTACCTACGTCTTTGCTCATTCAATCAGAGCAACTCCTTCTTCCTCCTCTCCCTTTCCTCCCTTTTTTCAACTTCTGAATCAGCACACGAGATCAGTAGATGATTCTAAGATGATCAACAGTTTGTTTGGGCTGTTCATACAAATAGATTACTCATACTCATATGATATCATTTCGAGCAATTATAATAAGAAGATGATGATAGAGATATTTCTTTATTATTTACAAGTTAATTCAAGCAGTCAGTAGTTTGTCCAGAGAATGCTCCGGCCAAGTTGAGCTCTCCAATATCGAAAGTCTTCTCGGCCCTAGTTCCTTCAGAGACGAAGTTCTTTGGAATCTTGATGGTGATCTTCTTGAAGCATAACTGAAAAACAGACAGTCATGAAAACAATTCTCTTCTATATATCATACTCCTTCGTAGTTACATTTGTGGTAGATGTTAACTTGGGGGTCAATGGTACTGAACTCCTTCTTGGTTCCAGCCATATCGAATTTACCACTGCGATCACTGAACTTCTCATCAAGAAGCTTGTCGAGGGCTTAAAACAACATTGTTGATGAAAAATAATACAATGCAACAGTTACTTATTTCCTTCTCATAGAGCTTGACTTTGACGTTTTCAGCTGGAGATCCATTACAGGTGAGCTTTCCCGTAACAGAGACTGATTGCTCTGTTCCGATGAAAGGAAGAGCTGCGGCAGTAGAGACAAGGAGACAAGCAACGACGAATTTCATTCTTAAATTAATATTATGAATAGAAAGAAGGCTATCAAAAAGGAAGTTCAACTGTAAGGTGTAGTTGAGAGGAGATGAAAAAATGATAGAAAAGTCATCGCATATAAGGAAACGCTACCGGTTATTGTCTACAAGGGGTGGGTGGGAGGGACATCAAAACAAGGTCATTGTCTAAATGAAGATGATGGGTTAACAAACTATATGGCACAAAGTCATTGGCCCCCGAGGACAAAAGACAACACAATACGGACAGCTAGCTTCCATTGATGCTTATCATAACGTTGGAGAACAAAAGTTCATTAAATATCTTATACGTCAAGTTCATAAAACGTTTATAAAATATTATTTTATTTCTCTCTAGTAGACAATGGTTAGAATGGGAGAGTTTCAAAATAAGAGTGTGATCAAGCTAGAACTTGTAAGATGCCATGTGCATGAAGACGGTGGGAACTGTGATGAAGGATGGTATAAAGGAAGCAAGACGTGTCCATCCCAAAAAGCTGAGAGCAGACGATAGTGATCTCATATTCATTGGCAACTTTCCTAAAAATAAAGATAAACAACTCTGACCAAACTATAAACGATAACCGTTCAAATCCTTGAACCCATATTCTTTAGCCAAATCATAGGTTAGGAAGATTCTTCCAGTTTTCTTTTGTATGCGTGCATCAGTGGCTAATGCAACAATAGCCTTTCCGGTGAATTCGGGTGATTCACTAGCACCTAGCATACTATCGAGAACTTCCTTAATCCTTTATTTCGAAACTATTTATGGGTATCATGGAAACCTGTGGAAGTTTAGTCATCGCCTGCACTTTCCCATCCTGTTCCAGCCTGTGGAACATTTCGGTGCTCACTGGTCCAGGCCATACAGTTACGATTGACACATTTGTGCCTTTGAGTTCAACTGCCATATCGGCAGCCAATCTATCAACCTATAAATGCCAGTTTATCATCTTAAACTGGTTAAGATACTTACACCAGCTTTACCAACACCATAAGCAACATTCATAGTGTATTGAAGGCCTCCAGCGGATGATATGTTGATGATCAATCCTGATCTTCAATTACAATCATATTATCATATGTAAATGAGATTCTGATATACTTCTTCTCAACCATCATTCGTGCCGCCAATGTACAACAGATGTAGTTGTTACGTAATCCTACGTTGTTACAGTTATCCCAGAACAATGGATCACATTCATAGAACTTCTTATTGCCTGCTTCACCCATATCCTCAACAGTATTAATGAAGACTTATCTATGACTCATCTGAGAGTTCAAATTATCACGCGGGGTTTGTATAACAATTCAAAGTGGTTTCCACGTCAGTTCACGTGAACTGACATGATAAACAAATTCATTTTAGTTCGCTACTTGGCGCAGAGCGGTCGCATTCATCATCTTTTCATTTAAATCAACACATGCACACAGGAGTTTACTTGTTCCTTCCTCTCTTCATAGACTCACATTGACTGCTGAATAGGCACTGTTAACCAGAATATCCAAAGTTCCATTATTTTCATTTGAAATTTTCTCAAAAAGAGATTTAATTTCGTCAGGATTTGAATGATCACAGTAGACAGGATGACATGTAGTATCTCGCATACGTACTTCTTCAATATGAAATACTCATATAAGGGAAGAGGGGATAACATGTATATGTGAACCTTCAGCTGTTTTCTCCAATGTTGGAAATTCAGAATATTTGTTTAACAAACTGTGTTCTGGCTTTCTTCCCGTTATATAGACAGTGGCACCTGCTTGGCCAAGTTGCAAGGCAATTCCTTTGCCTACAAATAGATGGATATGGACAATACAGTCATTTGAATGGATGAATACCAATTCCTCGACTAGCTCCGGTAACCAGAGCAATCTTTCCGATCAAAGGCCTGATTGCGGACATTGTCTTAAAGCATTTCAAGTTCAGTAAGCATCATATAATTCTTTTTATGAAGATAAATTAGTTTCTTATCAGTATCGAAAAGGAAATGACAATATATATTATCGAAAAGCTTAAGTCTGCTTTTCGAATTTGCGAAAAAACCATTTCTAAGCAGCCATCTGATGTAACTGAATGGAAATGACAGAAAAAAAGAAAAAAAATTATTTTTTGCTGACAACAACGCAACACACACACACACACATTGGTCGAATGCAGAAAAATCGATTTCAACTGCCGTTGTTTACAACTCGATCGCTACGTAATGTACTTGGTGAAGAAAAACAACACATAATACCCGAACATATGGTTGCAAAGCCATTAACACCCAATTAGGAAGTACAAATAATGGAATGAGTTGAATGCTTTTCCAAATACCTTCATCCTCTATCGAACTGTATGGGTGTGTGTGTGTGTGAGAATCGTGGTATGATGTCGGGGTGGGGTGGGAGGAGGTTATGAACGTTGAACGAATCAACAATTCATTAATGCTTATGGCGGATGTTGATAGATACTTACTTGGCCTTATCTCAATCTTATCATCAGAATCCGTGTGAGCTATCTACCTGGCTTCATCTGATATAAAAGTTGTTTCGCATAACGTCCGGAACGAAGACAGCACGTCTCCCTCTCACTTCCTTCACTTCACAATCACATCATGAACATTTGAATTTTTGAGTTTTCTTCTTTATCAGTTGAACAATTATCATTTCACATCTACAGTTTTATAATTCAAAAAAATTATTTTCCAAGTCTCTCTCTCTCGTCATCGTCTCTCTCTCTCTCTCTCTATCTCATATGAGTTGCGGTTGTCTCACTGCCTCTCCTCTATTTGCTGATCAAATTTTGACGAGTAAAGATTCAATTTTCATTTCTCAACAATAGCACCTTTTCTTAATTTCCTTTTTCGTGTCTAGTATGAGAAAGGAAGGCACATGAAAGGAATATATATGGAAGAGAGGTTAAGGTACAAAGTACATAATCAATAGAATCCCCCCCTCTCTCTCTCTCTCTCTCTCCAAAAAACACATAAACATAACTTTCAATTGGTTTTGTCTTTATTTGGATTTAAGAACATCTTCTCCATTCATTGACCATATATAGAAGATAGATGTCTGTATATAGCTTATGTGATGGGAAAAAAACAATTTTTGAAATATAATGTTGTTGAATTGATTAATTGTCTTGTTCTCCTCTCCTAATACTTGTGTCAGATTTCCTTATACGATGGTTGTGAACAATCAGGTTATCTTCTTCAATTTGAATGAGATAGTATTAGATGGGCTAATTGCTAGAAGAGACTCATAGACGAAGAAGACGATGACGATGACGAAGAAATATTTGTTGAAAAATTCAGAAGAAGAGTTAGGAAAGTGCGTCGAAGTGAAAGTCATCAACATCATCGTACTGTCCAATCCATCTATGTACCATTCAATCCAACCATCTATCCACCCCCCTCTCCCCCCCCCCTCTTGCTATCCATGCTATCACTATCTATTCTTTTTATAATTTATTCTATTGTTTTATCTATAATATTTGGAATTTGTTTTTATCTTTTACATACAATCTCTCTATTGATTGGTTGATAGCAAAATCTGTGAAGGAAAGAGAATTCATAAAGCTTCTGATGATTTCAGCTTCATGTCACGTTCCTCTCATACAGTCCTTGAATCGATTTATAACTGTTTTAACAATAAATCATGTATACTTCTCTCTCTATCTATCTATTCCTCTTTCTCTCTCTCTCTGTTCGTCTTCTCTGATAATAGCTTCTTCTCATCGTTTTTGAAATGCACATGTTGATTATAGTTTTTGTAACTTTTGTTTCTCCTTTTATAGAATGTCATTTGAATGTGAAGTGTGTGATTCACCGACAGCCACGACACTTCACTTTGGTGGAAGATCATGTAAAGTAAGTATGTTGTTATGAGTGATAATGCAACCGATGTGAGACGTCTGACAAATGATTAATGATTGAATAGGACATTGACGTGATATGCTAATGAGAGACACGTGAAACATGGTATGCTAATGAAGGTGTGCTAGATAAGTGTTAGTATAGAGATAAGGGCAATTTGAAAGTTTTGATTAATTTCTAATGAGAATTGACTGTTTGCAAAAAAGAAAGAATGTTATTGATGAGTCTAATGAATTGTATTGAAGGCTTGTGCTGCCTTCTTTCGTCGTACCGTTTCAATGAATATGGGTTACAAGTGTATAAATGGAGGATTGACTATATGCCGTATACATCATGGTCAGATCTTGATTACAACCTTCTCTCTCTCTCTATCTATCTCTCTGTCTATTTCTGTTTATCATATATCAATATGATCATTTCAGAACTTCGAATGCTTTGTAGACAATGCAGATTTCTGAAATGCTTAAGAGCTGGAATGAATAAGAATTGTAATAAACACAAAGAAGGAAGTCATGGTGGATTAGTTGAGAATTCAGATTTCAGTAGTTCAATCACGACGGGATGATCATCAGCCAATTCTTGAGCCGATGGATAAACGAGTGGCAAGAAGGCAGCGATACTCATCATCTGTTACTAGTAATACTCAAGTTACATCACCAGATTCTAGTGAGCAACCGTCAACAAGTCAGAGTCCTGAAGTCATCCAACATCCAATATCAGTATCGTGTAGGTAGAGTATAAGAGGGATCATAGTCAATAGGATCGTTTCAGCATTTGAATATGATGATATCAGTTCCTCAGTTATAGCTCATCACAGACGAGTGGAAGCTTCATTGAATGATAGACGGCGTCTGATGTACACAGAAGTTAAGATGCGTGACGTCTTCAATTATATATGTGAATGTGTATGTTTCATCCTTCTTTCCCTCCCTCTATCCCGTTATAGCATTTAATTATAGCCGTATGAGTTGATTCATTTGCGACCATTTGACTATCGTGCCTTTCGTGGATTTGATCGAGCAGACTTCATTATGATTTATGATTATGCCAGAGCCCTTGGTGGCTTTGAAGACTTGACTATAGATGAGAAGGTATGTAGTCATATCATGCTGATGTATCCATGTCATTGTGTTTTCAGAGTGTCTTCTACAGATTCAGCTGTGCAGTTGACTGTATGATCAACTCAGCTTATTACACATCTCGCCTGGGTGCAGAAGATTCTTTTCTTATTCTATTCAATGGTGAATTCCTACCAATGAATCCATTACCATTTTCGGGAGAAGAAGATGGAGCTGAAAAGATGTTTCAGTCAAGTCAAGACTTCGAACTATATAAGTGAGGATGCGTTTTTTAAAGAAGCAAAAACAATGTTCTATTCTAGGTCGTTAATGCCTATTAAATTACTTCAATGGAAGTATATGGCATTACCATTCATTGAGCTTAATGTGTCATTCGAGGAATTTTCATTACTTAAAGTTCTCACCATTTGGCAGATTAGTCAGTTTCTTAACAATCAACATTGCATTTCAAAATGAGAAAATGCATCTCACAAGGATTGTTTTAGGTTACTACAAGCTTACATCGAATGGCCGAAAAATCTGTGCGGAACAACGGAATTCCATCTTATGTGCTCTGCATCGACTATGTCTTGATCGAGGTGAAGATCCAGCTGAACGAATGGGTTCCATCATCTTATCAATGAATTACATAGTTGTAAGTTTCATTAGCTGCTACCTTCTTCAATTACAAAACCAACAAAACCAACATAAGCTTCAACTTCATTCATCTCTACTAGTTGCCAACTAGAGAAGCTCCCTCCACATGCTTTTGGACAAAATATTTTCTTACATAAACTACCAGAATGTTACCTTTCGGAATAAAAGTTGATGGCAAATAAAACATTTGTCGTCATCATCATCTGAATTTGAAATAGAATACCTTTTATAGAAGATGAGAATCATAGAAATATCAGCTTTCTACCTCTATCTCTCTCTCTCTCTCTGAGTGAGTGAGTGAGTGTATGTATGCATGTCTCTCTCCCTCCTTTCCCCACCTTCTTTCTTTTTTTTGTTATAAAATTGAGGAATATTCAATATTTTCAGGAGCAAGTACAAGTTCTTGTCAATTCATATGTAATGATAACATTCTTTGATATAATGAAATGCGATTCGAAGATTGTGGACTGTCTAGATGTATCCTATGCCATGAGCTCTTCCAAATAAGTTGGTTTATGCCTTTTCCTTTCTTCATCTTCCTTTTTTGTGTGCATGTTCGTTATTTGAACATTGAAATAATTAAATTCTTGCATGTCTTTCATTTTCTTTCTTTTTAACAACTCAGATAAGAAAAGCTTGTGTATCTTCGCATGAAATGTCTATATTAGGATTTGTCGAATAAAATTATTCCTAATGCTCAATGAAATGGAGCTTGAGCCAGCTTCATTCCCTTTCCCTTCAACAGATTGTAGTTGAGATGATCTCTTCATTATCATCATCATCATCATCACTCGATGTTCTGAATTTGAAAAGTAAAAAGAAGTTTAAGGATATGTAACAGAGAGAGAGAGAGAGGGAGAGAGGGAGAAAGAGCGTGCTACTCGTATAGAAATCGCCTTGGTTTGAACATTTTTATTCTTTCAATTTTAACATCATGAATATGAAATTGTATTTGAGAAAGCCTAAAAAGGTATTAATCTGTCTGTTGAGTTGAGGTAGTCTCAGAGAGAGAAAGAGAGAGAGAGGGAGGGAGGGTTAGAGGAGATGAATTGAGAGGCAGACAAAAAATAGAAGAGAAAGAAAGAGATTGAGACAAACGAGACAAGGAAACAGAAAAAGTCAGATGTAGACTAGCAGTCAGGAGATGTAGACTAGGAGACACCAGGTAGCATAGCTTCATTGTGTGTTCAAACGAATAACAAAAGAACAGAGAACTAATAAACATATGTCGAATTGAAGGTAATTTCTCTCATTTATTCTAAGCTTTTTCTTAGCTTTTACTTCTTTTTACTTTTAGCTTCAGCTTATCCATCCTCGTTTTATTTCCTTGATGGGTGGGTTGGTGGGAGGCTAGGGTGGATAGTCTCTTTAAGGACATTGCTCTTTTCGCTTACTCTCACTCTACCCTTCTCTACCCCCCACCCATTTTATAGCTTTTTAATTTTTGAAACAGAACAACCTTTTTTCTTTTAATGCTCATTCAAGCACATGCTTCTCTCTCTCTATCTCTCTCTCTCTCTCTCTCCCTCTCTCTCCCTAAGTTGTTTACTTTTAACTTTAAGGCATGAGTTCATCTTTCCCATATCTTTCCAATCATAGTCCCAGATTCACGGTTTCCGCGGCTCTTGTCATTCTAAAACTTGAGCCTCTTCGACGCCTCAATTACTTCTCTCTTCTTCATTTTCCGTCCTGCGGACCTTTAGATGTCGCTCTTCTTTTCTTTCTATCTTACTCTCTATGCGCCTTCCTCCTTTTACTCTACTCCTCCAACAAATATTTGAATCTCATGAGTTTACTCACAGCTTTTACATATCTGCCGTTCTCCCTCTCTCTCTCCCTCTCTCTACATATCTACCCTTCTTCTACGTTTAGAAACAACAAAAAGTTATTCACAACAGATTTGGTTGCGCTCTCTGTAAGGATGGGTGCATGACGTCTTTACCCACTTTTCTGAGTCATTTTTCTTCAATTAGGCCAATGTCCCTCATAATTTGTGAGCTTATGCGCATTTTGTGTGCCACTTGTGCTACCAAACATGCACACCCACTTGCCACTTCAGCCTTTTTTTGTTCTTCGTTTCTAAGCTTGAATATCATTATGCCTAATATGCGGATAGCTTTACGTGCGAGACGTCTCAATGTCTCATTTCATTCGGATGTTTTGCATTGTCTGTTGAACGGTTGTGCTGTTCAGCTGCTGCTGCTGTTTGAAACTGTTTGTATGATAGTTGAAGCTTGTTAAATGAGATCGTTTTGTTAGTTTGAAAGAAAGATGTTGCTATCCTCTTGTTCATCTTGACGAACATTCTCGTTTCTGCACTCCCTTAGTTATTGTGTATGTGTGTGTGTATGTATGTGTGTTGTCATAGAAATTAAAAGACTTATGAATTCTATTAGCTTAACTTGGACAATCTAGATGTTAAGCTAGAAAACATGGTCGTTGCTAGGCTGGCTCACACAACACTCTATGAATAATGAGAGTTCTCAGTTTCTATCTAATCTAAATTAAAAAAAACCCAGCGAATATGATATTTGTTTGTCGTATATGTAAGACAGCGACATGATGATCATCTTCAGCTTCTTCTCCTTTCTCCTCTCCTTCTTCATTCATGCTTAATATGCTTTCTTTGCAAATTCATATGTTGTTAGATAAAATGACTAAAATACAAGAAGTAGACAAGCAATAGCAGCTTTTTTGTGGATTTTTCAAGCTTTGAGAGCCGTTGTATCCAAATAAGGAGAGAATAGATAGGAGGAGCACTTACCTAAGAAGCAATGAGAGTCTTAGATGGATTTCTTGACTCTTTTCCGTAGTTTCTTCTTCTTCATCGTCTTCATCTTCTACTTCTATGCAGCTTCTTCTTCTTCTTCTCCTCCTCCTCCTTCGTCTTCTTCGCAATCTTCAGCTTCCAATGCATTTGTCCTCTCTGCTCTTCCTGTCTCTTCCTCTCTTCCTTCACCCATTGCTTGGTCCGTTCTGTCGTCGTATCGACCTAAAAAGGGAAAAGCAGTCTCTGCGTTTCCTCGTTTGTGGCTACGAAAATCAAGTAAATCTTAAACATTAGCCTAAATCATCTGTGACTTTATGACAAAGCTATATCTGTGATACTGAAGCGATGCTTCTGCAGCGTTCTAAAGCTACCAGCGCCCATTGTCGCCTGTTGTTGTCATCTTGGAAAATAAGGGGAGGAAATACATTTAGAGATACATCTAATGCTCTTCATGCTTTCTAGAGCTAATTGCTTCGTTTTCATATGTTCTTAATTGAGGGCCAATTGTTTTTCTTTGTTCATATGAAATTCTTTTTTTTTTTCATTTTCATCCTTTTCTCGCCATACACCACCATCACCGTTAATCTGACTTGTGTCTTTTCTCTGTTAAGCATCTCTATTCGCCTGTCTCTCTCTCTTTATCGGTTGGCTCTTAAATTTTTATTGGAGGCATTCAGTTATATCCTGGACTACCTTCTCATAAGCTCATACTCTCAAGCTATTCTCTTCTACATGCTTCTAGATGTGTTAGTCGTTCAAGTATTAGGTAGTGACGATGAACCAGACATCTTGGTCAAACTCCGAATCAACTTTGATGTTTTTCTTGAAAATTTGCATAGCTTCATCGCTTTAGTCCCAGACGCTTTCCTTTCCTGCCATTTCATTCATACCACGCTTGGATTATCCTGATACACATACGGTTTCTTCATTCTCATTGAAAATAAATTTTCTTTTCCTTCTCTCTCACATATACTACCTTCCTCTCTACATTCCTAACCTCAGCTTCTTCTCTCTCTACGCATTCTCTCTCTCTATCTCTCTCTCTCTCTCTCTATCCTTGCTCATCTCAGTTTTTTTCATTCAAATCTTCGTTTTTCATTTCCGCTTCTGCTTCTCTTCTATGTCCGCTTACAGCAATTACTTTTAATATTCAATCACAAGTTTAATCTTCTTCTTCACAATGAATTAAAATGAAAAAAAAAAAAAGAAAATTTCTTTTTTCTTCGAAATAACAGCTCTCGCTAATGGTCCATTCATCATTCTAAAGTCCTCAGTCACTCGTTTTTTGCTTATTTTCCAGCTCTTTGCGAGGTTATTTTTCAAATTTTCTATCTTTTTCTTCTTTTCTTTTGGGCGGGAGAGAGGGAGGTATAGAGGGTGAAACAGAGAGAATGAGAGAAATAGAGCAAAAGGAGGGAGAGAGTTACAAGGGAGGTCTTTGTGTGTAAATCTGCTCCAATCACAACATTACTTTCTTCAAGCTCTTTAGCTCTTTCACTATCATTATGGGCGGGAGAGAAGGATGGGTGAGAGCTCTGTTTGGGCATGTTCTTAATTGAATTAGATCAACAAACGTTTTCTTTTCAATCATTAATAACATGTTTGTTCGTCCATTCACTAACGCCACATGCTTTTTGAATAATTTACGTGAAAAAAGCACGTGGAATGGCGAGTTGTTTCATTTTTGAACGTTAGGCGTTGAGGACGGTTGATTTCCCTCCTCCCTCCCTCCCTCTTTCCCTCCCTCCCCTCGTTTTCTTCTCCATTTTATATTTTTGTTACTCTCTTTCTCTCTCTATCAATCTATCTACGATGTATATATGTATGTGTGTTTGTATATGTGTTGCTCTCCTTTTTTTTTATTTTTCTCTCTCTATCTCCCTCTTTATACCTCTTCCTCTCCCTCCCTCTCTCTCTCTCTCTCTCTCTCTGTTAACTTTCCTCGTTACTTCTTTTACATTTCTCATATTTTATCGTTGTTACTCTCTCTTCAACTCTCCTTCTCTCTCTATCTTTTCATGTATTTTGAAACAAATATATTCATATTCAAGCATTTTGATTATCTGAACAGCATTTCCGCAGCTGGAGCTATTCTAACTCAAAAAAGGAATGAAGGTTTCTTCATTTTTTGTCTCAAAATACACATCTATCTCTTGGATGTAAAGTTGTTTGTGAATATCTTGACCAAAAAAGGAAGCACAATTAGAAAGCTCAAACTTATGTGATTAAGTTGGTGTTTTTCAAACAAGCATTATGTGTGTTGTGTGTGTGTCTTCTGTCGATTCCTGTGTGCCGTTTGACACACTCATTCCATCCTCCCTATATCTTCAAGACGTTTCTCTCATACCTCATCACATTTCAAACATGTTGTCAGTCATCATCATCATTTCCCTCCTCTCTCTTTACCTCTCTCTCTCTATCCCTCTCTCTCTCTTTCTATTTCCCTCTCTACGAATGTCTTTGCACAATCCTCATCAACCGATCTCTCCATTATCATTATACATTTCCATCTTATTATCTTTATTCTTAATTGCTTAATACAATTAAATGTTTTGATGAATTCATTTTCTGAAAATTGGAATTGATTCACAGCCTCTGATTAGCGTCGGAAGTTGGAAAGTATTGCTAAAGCGTACTTTACCCTCTCATCTCTCTCTCATCTCCCTACTCTTGCCACCATTCTCTTTCTCTCTCTCTCTCTCTCTCTCTTAATCTTCCAATTGATTTGGTCATTTCTTGTATTTCAATTGTTATATCAAATATTATAGATCATAACTATACAAACTATATCTTAGGAGTACTCATTACAATTGACGGGACGCACAACAGAACCAAACCGAAAGTCATGGTACGGTAGAAGAGGAAGCGTCTCATCTAGAATGCGTTGGAAAGAAGGAAATAATGAATAATTATTTTCTATATGTTCCGTTTTGTTTCCTACTTCTTCTTCTTCTCATAATTCAACCAACAGAATGTAAACGACCGAAAAACAAATCCTGGTTAGTTTATCTTCATCTCTTTATAATTTTATAATCTGCATGTTTGGCACCACATATCACCATATAATCTGTATGTTGTTTCTTACTCAATGACGTTCTCTTCTCTTTCGTTCTTGTAGTTGCTTCCGTCAAAACTGCTCAACAGCGACATTGACTAGTTTCATTTTCTCCTTTTGCACCCTATTCTCCCTCTCTCTCTATCTCTCCATCTTTCATCTCATAGAATGACGTTTCGTTACAAACCACCTGTGGGTATAAAGAGATGAGCAACATGAGAGCCTCATGACCACCTACTTCCTTCACCTACATCATCTTCTCTACTCAGCCACATCACAGTTCCTAAGAAGCGTTGGATGAAAATGGAAAAAACAGACTAATCTTCTATAGTTTACAAATTAAAAACCATAGATTATGAAATCGAATCCTTTTGTGTAATGAAAGGAATAAATGATGAACTTAGCACATATCATGTGTCTGAATGTTTCTTTTACTCTCGCACCCCCCTCTCCGTCCCCTCTAGCCTTCTTTGCTTCCCTTAAGAGAGTCAAGAGAAAGAGGAACTTTGTATGAAAGACAGGAACAACAACCATTATGTATAATTGTGTCTGCTCCAAGAATAATATTAGTTTTATCATATTATCTTTTTCAATCATGCAGCTGCCTAGCAACAGGTGTCATCTGCAACACATCATCTCTTTTTGCATCTGCCGTCGTTTGAAACTCGATCCGGAAGAGACTGAAGTCGATGACGACGACGTTTTAAGCATAGCCTTCCGGTCCTTTCATCTATCGCCGTTTTGAATTTAATCGTAATCGTTCGAAAGGCAATTCTTCACATAGTCCGGCATGAGTACGCTTGTTCTCACAAAACTACTTTCTTGTGTTGACATCGGAGAATTTGAGTCAGAGAAAACTTTTTTTTTTGTTCTGAAACATTTGGAAAGTGTATGGAAGGGACGAAAAAGTAAATATCAAAGTTCTGTTGTGAAGGAACAGTCTGTAGATGGGCTATGGTTAGAGGAAGGAAGGAAGGAAGGAAGGATGAAGATGAGATAAAGCTAGGAGGGGGGGATGCGAAACGAACTTTTATAAGCCATGAGATGCTTTCAACGAAATTCCTTTGAAACGTTAACGTTTCAATAGTTGTTAGTCTTTGGAATGCACTCGAATTTCAGCTTTGAACTCATAATTTCCATTTCCCAAGATTAAAAATTCCTAAAAGTTAACTTTTACTTTGAAATCTTCAAACGAATGCAGTGATTCATTCAAGATACTTATGACTGAGCAATGAACTTTGACTGAGTAAATGGCGTCTGTTTGAAAATGCAATTTCCTTCATTTTTGTGTGTGATTTGTGTGCGAAGACGAAATAGTCAAATGGCTTTCTCAAATCGAAATCTAATAAGACATCTATAAACTGTTTTTGTTTCTCCTGAAAACAAATGCAATTGTTGTGAGTTTGGGTTGACAAAAAAAGGAGGAATGTGTGTGAAAAAGAGCCGACGAGCACTTCCAATTGGTTATTTAGAAGAAGCTAAGTGAACGAGAATGAGCTTCTTCTTCTTTCTACCTCGAACCCTCTTTCTCTCTCTTTCTCTCTCACTCACTCTCTTTTCTTACTCCAAGAACATAAAAAGGATAAGAGAAGAGATTGAACACAAAGTGAATATGCAAGGACAATAATAGTCAAGATTGACGCCTTAAAAGGATTTTGCCTTTCTCACGTGAGGTCATGTTGAAGATGCTTCAATAGCTTGTCTCAATAGAGCTTTCATGTTGAATAATATGTACAAAAGTTGAATCGCTCAATTTACCATTGAAACATCCAAATTCAGACATTATGCGAATTATTCAATTTCAGCAAACGTACCGCTTTCAATCGTAGAACAACCAACTATCAAGCATGGAGGGAGCAAATGACAGTTTGCGACCTCTTAGCAGAATACGATCCAGCCGTCAGACCTTCTGGTCGAACTCCCGAAAATTCAGAAAGTATGTTACGAACATCTCAAATATCTCTAACCATATCTGTTGCAGGAGGGCCTGTCCTTGTTACCACAAGTCTCGATATTCGTTCCATATCAGCTGTTTCAGAAAAAAACATGGTAAGTTAGCAATGATATTTGTTTCAATGTGCAGTCTGTACTTGCTTGAAACAACATGTTGTTACTTTGATCACTGTCAAGATCAATAATGACGCGTTCTTGCAGGAGTTTGTTGCTCAATTTCGTTTCCGACAGGAATGGTACGATGACCGTCTCCGCTTCATCGAACATAACTTAGATGTAAGTGCATGACTTTCGAAATTTACTTTAATATACAATTACAGAGCCACACATCTCGCGATTTCCGAAATTTTGAATTTATCCATGTAGCTAGAGACCAACGTCTGTGGATACCGGATACGTTTTTCCAGAATGAACGAAAAGGATGGTATCATATGCTTGATCAGGTAAGATATGCAAACAGTGATCTAATCGGTAAACCTATTTCAGGAAAATAAATTCTTAAAGATACGTTCAGACGGTAAACTAATCTACGATAGGAGGTAAGAGCTTTCATTTCCTTATTCTAATTGTGAATGCAACCGCTCTGAGTGAAATGATGATAACGAATGAACATTGCTTTCACGTGAAATATTTACGTGAGAATCTTTACGCGAATATGCAAATGAAGTTAAATTCGTTGAGCTGCTATAAGCTAATTAAAGGTTGAAAGAAGTATCTGCGATTAGATTTTCGGACTTGTTCAGAGTTAGTCTATGAAATTGGGTGAATCAGCGTCGAAGAAAAAGGAGTTGTAAGGAAAAACACATTGTTTAAAATTTGAAAAGTTGCTTAAGTAAATCGCATCTTCTCGGAACTGGTTCTGAACTTGTTCATCATGTAGATGCAATTATAAGAAAGTGAAAAGAGAGAGAGAAGATGAATGGAAAAGCTTCGGTTCTGCAGAAAGCTCAGCATCATCTGCTCTCAACTTTGCTGAAATGAAGTAAGCAAGAGAAGAAGAAGAAGACGAAAAAGGAAGATAGAGAAAGCATGATGCGCAAAACGAAAGAAAAACATGGTTGTGCTGGAAAAAGGAAGACAAGATTAAAAGAACTAATGAAAGGAGTAACAAGTTCTATTTTTAGGTTAACACTTCATTTGGCTTGTTCTATGCATTTATCCAAATATCCAATGGATACTCAGAACTGCGAGATTGCTTTTGCTTCTTGTAAGTCGGATTGAACTCTTCTTCTATCTCTTCTTTGTTACAGATGCTTATACGACTGATGATATCAAATATGAATGGGATAAGCATTCCATTAAGTTTCATCATGGGGCCAATGGCGCTCTGCCAAATTTCGAAATCGCGAAATTCGTGAATGGAACTTGTCATTCCAAAACTAATACAGGTATATCCTTATGCGGACAGTTCTGATGATCCTCCTTTCCTCTTTTCAGGTGAATACTCCTGTTTAAGAGTCGAACTCAAACTCAAACGCGTCTTTTCTTTCTTCCTGCTTCAACTGTACATTCCTTCGTCTATGCTTGTTGGGGTTGCATGGATATCCTATTGGATTGACTGGAAAAGTACCGCAGCTCGAGTTCCTTTAGCCATTATTACATTGCTCACAATGATATCTACCTCTCATGGTTTTCATTCTTCTCCTTTCAGCACAACTATATTTGTCATTTCAGCTGTTAATTCGAATCTACCTCCAGTTTCATATGCTAAATCAATTGACATATGGGTTGGAGCTTGTGTCGGTGAGATTGCCTTCAATGTCTGTATAACACCAACCTACATCTATTTCAGTTTTTATATTTTTCTCTCTTATTGAGTATGCCGTAGTAAACTATATGGGTATAATGGATGAGCATAGGTATGTTCCTGTTGATCACAATTCTCATTTGTTCTATTTTCAGACAAATGAGAAAGGCAGCTTGTAATCGCAGCCGTCTATCGAATGTGATGGATACTGATGTCTATATGCAGTCTGTAGAAGCTATGACCTCCCCTAATTCGGTAGGAGGGTTTAGTCCTCAAGAAAAGAAGGTTAGAACCTTGTGACAGTATATCTCATAACCATCTGTGTAGCATCTTCTTCGTCGTAAACGGAAGAAATCATTCGAGCTACGAGAGCAGAGTTATGGAGGGACTAATCAAATGGAAATGTCTGACTTAGGTCCTCCACGTAATGCCGGAATGGTGGAAGAAGGCTGGACATTCCAAGTATGACTGACTGACCGAATAGAACAATCAGAGACTCATATCGTTTAGGACACTACAGATTTGGTTTATATTGGCCAGAGAAAGCGGGTTGAGTTGGTCAGATGGTGCAGTGTGTTATCATCACGTGGCCGAGCTGAAAGAATTGATATCATTGCCAGGTAAGGGAGTTAGTCTAAGAACATGAGATAATGATGATGATTTCAGAATAATCTTTCCTATATGTTTCATCCTTTTCAATTTTGCCTATTGGAGTATATACTTAGATAATGAAGATGAATAACTACAGTAGATATCAATTCTTATATGTAACTTTTATAATATTTCTCATATCTTTATAGATTTTGAATTCAAATGTGATAAGAGTCTTTGTTTTACAAATTAAACTTTTAAATTGAAATTTTGTTTCTCATTGGAATATGAATGACCTCACCGTCATAGTATAGTCTTGTTTCCATTTGCTCATTCAGGAGGTAAAGGTGCATGTACGGATATCAAATGCCGTCAAGCGTATACTGCCCAAGAAGCAATTTGTGCATTAACATGTCCATATATGGATGTATGTCAGTGGAATATTTCGATTCGTAAATAAGCTTAATATTAAGGATTTTATGAGTTAATCTCTTCTTTATCCGGTCCTACAAATCACGTCTTATCGGATTGCCTGAAATGGCCCGCATTCCGAGGCCTTGTCGCTCAGAAGCTTCCATTCCCATCATTGAATTCAGGTGTGTTCATTTAACTATTCGTTCATAATGTCGTTTTGCGAGAAGAGTTTCATGTTTGAGCTCAATGAATGATCACTAAAAGGTTAGAATGTATGTTTTCTTCACGTAGAGAGAGAGCGATGGAATGATGAATTATCATGTGATTATATCATTCCGCTCCAATGCCACTCTATAAATAATGTATCTTCTCTCGTTTCATCCCATATCTGTTGTTTTGAGTTATTTATTTTCTTTTTATGTATTTATCTAACGTTACTCCTTCTTCAGAAAGCCTTTTCAATTCTTATTAGAAGACGTTGGATGGTCCAGAAAGAACTTCTATGATGGCACCAGCAGAGACATCATGAGGGAGAACATACGAGCTGTCAAATTGCCAAATTCTAAACCGGAAGTTCGCCGAGTAATGTTATTTTCATCTTTTCCATACAAAAAATATATTTTGCAGGTTCCCGCATTCACTATTCAATCTCGCCAGAATAATACAAAAGTCATTGATCCTCCTGAAATCGGAAGAAGGTCCAGATCTGTCGATCAGAATGTAAGTTTTCCGATTATCTCGATTAGCTGACGTAATGGAATCCTCAAATGTTTTAATCTCACACATTTTGATTAAAACAATTTCTTTCAGCATGATGAAACATCTCAGTTTCGATTAATGTATAGCAGAGGAGATCTTCCAGTAGCTATCGATCACAATGTTCCGGCAGGAGGGAAACCGAAGTATCTGCGATGGGTTAAACATCCAAGTCTCATGAAGCCTGAATCTATCACCTATCTTCTATCCAAATTCTCATCAGGACTTCCTATTATTGATCAGGTTTATAACTTCCCCTAGTGGTTTCCATAACTCTCACCATTATAGCCGTATAGAAATATAGCAGAATGGGCTATTCACGACCTCTTGGACTCAGTTCCGGATGGAAATCTTATAGTTCAAGCGATTCCGCAAATGGTTAGTTACCATGGCTCTGTATATCCATAATGTCTTCTTTAAGGTCCGCGGTATAAGAGCCAGTCTTTATTCATTTGACAATAATAAGAGGAAGTTTGCACTTGAGTTATTAAACAAGATGACTCGCATCTCGAACTGTGGGCCGCTTCTAGTACCTTTCTATCGTCAACTTCTCCCGCCATTGAGTAAGGATTCCGATGTTACTTGTGGTTAATAAACATTTTCAATTAAGGGCAAGTAAGACGAGCCAATATTAAGGAGAAAGATGTGTTGGAAACAAAAATCAGTAACTGTCTACAGGAGTTGGAGAGGACTGGCGGACCGAGCGCTTTCATCAATATAAAATATGTGATTCCTACCTATGACTCTTGCGTGAACGGGACAATCTCATGAGCATCCCTCATTTGCATGCTACATATTCTATTATTCATTTCTTCGGATATGATTGTACACAATCCTAAACCTCCGTCGAGACATTGTTTAGTGAACGTCTGAACGTGATTTGTAGTTTCCTTGATGCCAGACGATTTTTGATCAGCGCCCCCACTGTTCACTCATATGTCGTTCACTCATTCATTAGTTCACGATTGGTGTTCTATAAGATATAAACAGTTCCATTATTCTCGTTTGTTTCGATTGTTTTCTAACTTCTTTGTTGAACCTTTCATACTATGCTGAAGCATGATTGACTAAACAAAGCAGTTCATCGGTTATCTTTTTCCTCTTTCGGGATCGAACTAACAGATCGGATGAAAGCAACCTCAATATTCCAGCTCTTGTTTCAATAAACGATGAACTTCCTGTGCATTACACAAAACAATTTTAAGATCATCATGAACTGCTCGCAGTGTTGTTTCCAGATACACGCACAGATCACAATCGCGCAAGGCGCTCACTTTATAGTTCCGTTATTAACCCAAATTTTACAGTTTTTGGCCCAAGTAGTATAGTGGTTAGTACTCCACGTTGTGGCCGTGGCGACACAGGTTCGATTCCTGTCTTGGGCATGTCTTTTAGCCTTATAAGCCTTTCTATTAAGGTATAATTGGCTCAATACTAATTATGCATCCCTTAGGCGCCCTAATGATTATCATTAGGGCGAGAATGGAACATGCAGAGTTCTCCGCGCAAAGTTCACGGTTTTCAAATTTTTTTTTTGTTTTGATCGTCAAAAGCATCTGGAGATATTAGAAGCTTGGAGAAGTTCTCTGGTTGTATAGTGTGATTCCTACAAGCAGACGTGATTATCCCTCCATGTTCATTACATATTCGTCG